TTTCATTTTTCCTCATTCATTCATTCATTATCAGTTTGAATCCATGTGTTCCTATTTTATTCAATGGATTTTAATCAATTACCATCGTTCCTTCCCCTTCCCCCTCCCACTTCAATGACATGTTCAACTGTCCCAGATTTTGCCAGCTGGAGCCTCTTCAAGCTGACTCCTGGGTCTTTTGACATGTCCCCATCATTCTTTGGGTACTTTTTCACTTTCTGGCATTCTAGAGCTAGAGCAGAGAAAATTCAGTTTTCTCTGCTCTAGCTCTAGAATCAGCTAGTTTTTCAGGGAGCTCTGGTTCCTTTTAGTGGAAATGGTATTTAGAAACCAACATAGGTATGCTCATTGCTACAGGGTTTTTATTGCTTCCAGACCCTCACAGCAGTCAGCTAGGAAATATATGCTCGTGTACACACACAAACACACACACATACACATATGTCTATAAATGTATTATAACTATCTATACCCAGTTAGCTAGCTAACTTTATAAAATCATGTGTTCATACTGATACCTGTAATTCTAGTCCAACAACACAGAATTTAGTATCACGTTCCTCCTTTTCCATATTGAAACTGCCTTCTCTGACACTGAGAAATTTGGCTCCCATTATGCTCAACCTATTATTTGCTCAGTTGAACTCAGTAAAAGTAATGTTAGAAATGCTAAGTCATACCACTGGGTAAAACAAACCAATGACCTAGAATTCAGTATTTATAATTCGATTTGCCTTTAGTTTAAGCATGTATAGTCAACATACTGTGTTCAAAAGTGTGTATTAGTTCTAATTTTTTTTTTTTTTGATGTACGCGGGCCTCTCACTGCTGTGCCCTCTCCCGTTGCGTAGCACAGGCTCCGGACATGCAGGCTCAGCGGCCATGGCTCACAGGCCCAGCCGCTCCGTGGCACGTGGGATCCTCCCGGACCGGGGCACGAACCCGCGTCCCCTGCATCGGCAGGCAGACTCCCAACCACTGCACCACCAGGGAAGCCCTATTAGTTCTAATTTTTATCTTCAGAGTGGTTATGTTATTCATTTGCTATTATTTGACATATGTTCATTTGTATTTATATTCCATTTCAGATTTTTTTTTCTTTTTTCTTTTTTTTTGCAGTACGCGGGCCTCTCACTGCTGTGGCCTCTCCCGTTGCGGAGCACAGGCTCTGGACGCGCAGGCTCAGCGGCCATGGCTCACGGGCCCAGCCGTTCCGCGGCATACGGGATCTTCCCAAACTGGGGCACGAACCCGTGTACCCTGCATCGGCAGGCGGACTGGCAACCACTGCGCCACCAGGGAAGCCCCCATTTCAGATTTTTTCATCATTTTTTATTATGTGTGTTTGTGTATATAAAACACTAAGATGGCTCAAAAGTCAAAACTCAACAAAAAAGGTATACTCAGAAAAGTATCAAGATTTTTTAGCAAATATTTTTTCTTTATTGAGCCTTCCTTCTCCTATATTTACAACTGTGAGCCTGGACCCTTTGGTTCATTCTCCCTGTAGTCTGTGCCTGCCTGCCTTCCACTCCCGAAGCACACACACAGACATACATATACACATACTGATGGAAAAGATATTGAAAAACTACAAGATGATCTTTAGGATGAGGTATGTTTCTTCCACCTTTGGACATGATTCTATATAGAAACAATATACTTAATTTTGTTCAGTGTATTATAACCATATATGTAAGTGATCTAAAAATATTTTTTCTTGTGAAAACACCATAATGGACTACATGGTCCAATCTCACTGTATAAAAGCAGAGTTTCCTTTATTAAGACAAAGCAACCTGGATTTGTTTTTACTTAAATACAAGACCAAAACAACACATGAATCATTTCCTCTATAAGAGAGTGACTCCAGACTGGGAGCTCATTATCCAAACCCTGTGTCAGGTCCACTCTGCCAGCCCCACTTCCTCAGGACATGTATCTTTCATCACCTCTGGCTCCTCTGGAACAGTAACCAGCTGCCTCTAATTGCCTCACAGACCAGGTGTGGTGGTGGTAGTGGTGGTGAGAGTGGGCTGGGACATTATTTAAAAAGCAAGAATCCGTCGTGCCAAGGTTAACTAAGATTTTCACCATTGTATTTTGAAGTCCTTGACTATGTTTTAAACACTATCAGGAATCTAGCTATGTTATTAAAACAATTTAGCTATATAAAATGTTGATTTCTTTTCCTCTCAGCCTCTATTCCAAAGGTCTATACCCATAACAATTTGATGTTTTGGAAGAACAGTTCTGTTCGTTTTTGTAATTTTATATAACCTAGCTTTTGTGCAGCATGCGGGATCTTAGTTCCCCGACCAGGGATGGAACCCGTGCCCCTGCAGTGGGAGCGCAGAGCCTTAACCACTGGACTGCCTGGGAAGTCCCACCACGTAAGTATTTACTGAGTGCCTACAATGTGCCAAGCAACCCCAAGTACTGTGGATTGGGGACATCAGTGGTCGAAACAGATAAAAATCCTTACCTTTATGGAGCTTATGTTCTAGCAGGTGTAGACAGACAATAAAAAATAAACAGCTAATTATCTAATTTGTAACAAGATGTTAAGAGCTACGGGAAAAAAACAGATCAGATTAGGGCAGCATGGGGTGCTGTTGCAGCAGAGGCAGTTAAATGAGGTGGTGGTGAGATCCGAGCAGGCTTTAACTTGCAAAAGCTGTTCATTATGCAGACATCTGGGGGAGGAGCACTGCAGGAAGAAGGAACAGTGTCTGTGATGTAAGGCTGAAGTGTACTTGGCTTGCTTCAGTAAAAGCAAAATGTATGGTACGGGGTGGGAGGGTGGGTGGCGGCAGAGACATAGAACCATGTGAGGGCAAAGGACTTTGGCTTTTATTCTGAGTGAAATGGGAGCCCCTGGAGGGACTGGGGTAAAGAAGCAACATAATTTGATTTGTGTTTTAACAGACTCCCTGGCTGCCTATTTAACACTGGAAGGGTGGAGGGAGGACTGGAAGACTTGAGACTAATTAGAAAGCTACTGAAATAATGTAGCAAGAGATGATGATGGTTTAGGCCAGAATGGTAGATAGCGGTGGAACTGGTGAAAGAGAATCTGATTCTAGGTATATTTTGAAGGTGAGCTAATATAAATTCCTGATGTACTGGCTGTGTAGTCTCAGAAAAAGAGGAGTCAAAGATGAAAGATTTTGGCCTAAGCAACTTGAAAAGCAGAGCTGCAATTAACTGAGATGGAGAAAATTATGGATAGAGTAGGTTTTATGGGGAAAGATCAGTTGTTCAGCCTGACTGGAGTACATTCAGGAAAGGATGGGAAGAGAGGAATTGGAAACAGATATAGAAAACTCAACTATTGCTCCAGAAGGGAAGGGAATATGGCAGCTGGCAGGGGAAGTGAAGTGAAGAGGTCTATTTAGGTTGGGAAAAATTATAACAGATGTGTTTGCTGATAGGCATATTCAGTTAAGAGGGAAAACTGATATCGTACAAGAAAAGGATAATGGCTGGAGCAGCATCCTTGAGAAGGTGCATGGGGGTAGGATATGGCACACAAGTAGAGACCAGATTTAAGCAAGAACATGGATGGGCAGGAAGATAGACTACATGGAACCTGTGCTGGTAGATGGGTAGATTCGGTTGTGGGAGGCTGTGGAAGTTCCCTGCCAATTTAATTTTTTGAGTAAAGTAGGGAAGAAGGTCATCAGCTGGGTGGAGGATGAAGGAGAAGGTGTTGGAGGTTTGAGGAGAAAGGAGGTGTGAAATGGTAATCTAGTAATGAATTTAAAATGAGACCAATCAGTATAGTTGTTCATTTTGTTCAGCTGCATGGCTGTAGGCATGGAGAAGACAGAGTTGAGTCAACCAGGTTTTGGTTTTGCCAAACAAGTAAGACAAAGCTAGAGAGTGAACTGAACGCAAAGGAGTGACTGTAATGACTGAACTGTAAGGGAGGGTTAAGGGAGGAAGAGAGGACATCAAGAGCTGAGTGACAAATTACTTAACCTCTCTAAACCTGCTTACTTATATGAAAATGTTAAGAGTGCTGTTGTGAGGCTTACGTGGGATAATGTGTTTATAGAATGCTTAACATAGGACCAAGCACTGAGTAAATATGCAATCAGTTTCTCAGGTGAGGTTTCCCATCAGGATCACCTGGGGAATTTTTGAAAATACTCATGCCCACAGCCCAACCCCCACAAATAGAATTTCTGAGGGTGAGGCCGCAGCATGGCTTGGTTTAACTACTCCCCAGGTGATTCTAATGTATAGTCAGGGTGGCAAACTTCCCTGTTAACTAAATGATCTCTATTAATAATACTAACAATCACTTACTGAATGTCTCCTATGGGCCAGGCAATATACTATAGTATTATCTCATTTAAGGGCCACAACTTTTCAAGGAGGAGTTCGTGCCTGAAGTGACAAACAGTAAGTGACAGAGCCAGGGATTTCTAGCCAGTTGTCTATGACTAAGTCCCTTCCACTATAAGCTTGCTACTCCAAGAATGGTTTGAGGAGCATCAACACCACCAGAGACCTTGTTAACAACAAATGCCTCATCACTGACCTTGCTAAATCAGAATCTGCATTTGAGTAAGATCTTCAGGTGATTTCTATGTATATTAAAGTTTGAGAAGCTCTGAAATAGGCCACACTGGCTCTCTCCGCCACAATTTCCATTCTGGTGTAAGGTGGAGGCAAACAAGTCATATCGATGGACCAAGGGCAACAGCTGATGCCAACTGCTTGTAAGTATCAATAAATAGTTCTTCAAGGCCTGAAAAAGGTAATAAATGTCTAAAAAGGATTATCTCTGGAAATATTTTACTTATGAAATAATGCTGAATAATATTATTCTTGAAATATTTACACAGGTTTTGGTGGGATTGGAGGTGGAAAGGAACATCAGTACCTTAAGGAGTAACTTTTTTCTGAATCAACCAAAATTTCTGACAACCAAAATCATTGTGAACTGAACATATATAATCCTAGCTCAAATAACAGCTAAGTCTTTCGAATTCATTTAAAGATGTATTTATTTACAAGATACAAGTGTTTAATATTTAATAGGAATTAAAGTGCTTAATTTTACAATGTTTCCAATTCTCTGCCTTTATGAGCAAATATACATATGTTACACAATATATACACTATCTGCAAGTATTTTACATTCATATAGCTAGAAGAGAAAAATTACTTTCTCACATTTGACTTAATTCTAAAATTTTGCTAATATACATTTCAAATTGATCAGTCAACAATTCAAAAACCCAGATAACACTTATTCAAGAATATCAGTCAATTGTCACTCATAAAATGAAATGCTAGTTTGGTACAACAAACAAGAACCTCCAAAGTTTTATATACAGACATGATTGCTAACGAAGGGAGACACCCCTCCCCAAGCGATACATTTCAACATCCATATAATGTGTAATATATAATGTAATTCTGTTATCATAATGGTCCCCATAGACTATTATGTCTCTTCCCAAACCCATATATATATATATATATATATATATATATATATATATCTCACTCTATGTATTTGGTATTTACTTATTCAAATATGCTACAATATTTCTTGATTTAATTTCTCACTAAATCTACCTAATCACACTAATTCAATCTATAATGAATTTTAGGAAGGGGTAAACATCATGTAACTCTCAGTGACCCCCAATGAGTTAAAAACTATCTTGTAGAAGCCATGTGCTATTTCATCTCAAAAGACAGAAAAGACACTATTTTTCTGCCAAATGTTCAGTCCATAAAGTAGAATACAGACCATGATTGACTTTAGAGGGATTTTTTATGTCAGTAAACAGTGCAGAAAATAGTCCAATAGAATTAATTCTTTTTTTTAGGTCTAAAGAAAAAGTAATGACAAGATACTAGTGGTATAATTTAGAGGGCAAGGTGAAAGGCCCAGGTGTAATGGATCCCATCAGTGTGCAATTACATAGATTTACATCTTGTAGTTTATATCCCTCTGCAGTTTGTTTTTCATTTATCTTAGCATATATTGCTCTGATTTGGAGTCCAAGGGACTCTTTCTGTCCACCTCTCTGTCTGTTCTTGCTTGTTTCAGTTCCTAATCTTATTCCTCTCTACCACATCAGTAAAGAAAGCAAAGTTACTCTTTCATGACAACATGATTACAGGGCATACATAAGAATGAATTACACTAAAAATCCATGTATATAATTTATGTTAAAATATTTAAGTTAAAAAGAATACTTTCTATAAAAATTTCATTCCTATGGATAAACAGAATTGGAAATCAACATTGCTTTTACATATATACATGTATGCATAAATTCAGAGAAAGGGTTTTTAAAGTATATCTAGTGGTCTTTTATATATCATACTCCTATTTTCTAAATCTGGAGACTCTATAGTAGATAGTAATATGAAAATAAAAAGCAATTTGATTTTACTAAAATTGGATGAGAATGAAAAAGTAACATGATCCACTACAGATGTCCAGTATAGTCCTAAGAATAAGAACAGGTTAGCCACAGATTTTATATTAATATATTCTTGAAGAATACAAAAGTTAAGAATGAAGACATTACGACATTCTTGCCTTTTGAATTAATTTTAGCTTATAAATACCATGTGATTAATCTTAGACCCGCTAACAGGAACATTATGTGATGTAGAAAGATTTAATGTATTTTCTACTGTGCATTATAGCAAGGATACCTGGAAAAGAAAAAAAAAAAGAAAAAAAGACCTTTGTTCCCTATAAGTTTATTTGCTCCTGTTGGTGTCTTTTCCTCAGGATATATCCAGCTCAGGAAAATCATTATTACATATGCTCAGAATAAGAACTTAAGGCTTTGAGTATAACCAGAAATGAGATCTAAAATTTAAAGGGGAATTTAGATCTGTTTCCTGTTTCCACAAAGAAGACAATAAAAAGTGTGGTAATTTAAAAAAACTGTTGTTGTTGTTTTAATTTGGGTAGCTTACCCAGTGAATATAAGTACACCAAGCTATATTAAACTTCATGGAAAATGAAATGTGTAGTGCAGATGTGCTTTAACTGTTTTTAACCACCCATACATACCCTTTGAAAAAAAAAAAAAAAGGCTTTAAAAAACTTTAAAGTAAAATAAAAAGGATTTTGATGGTTACTTGAATCCAAGGAATAATGTTGTCCCTTCCCTACCCCACCCCCGCCACACATACGTTCTTTTCCCTATACTGAGCAATTTGAATCACAGTATCACTCCTAGGAGTTAATTTTCTATACCCTTGTGGCTAGGAACATTCACATTAAAAGTTCAGTGTAAAACCTACCCTGTAGAGTTTTATTGCTTGCATACATGATGGCATTATAGATGCCATTATTACAAAAGTGGCTGGTGGCATTTTTCATTATTGGGTCCCACTTAAAACCTGGAGATAAGTCTGCACTACATTTCATTGGTAGACTTTCAATAAAGCAAAATTTATGTTGAGAAAACTGGAATGTTTTATAAAAAATAGCAGTTTTATCAAAGAAGTATTTTGTTAAGTTTAGAGAAAGGGCACTTTAAAAAAAAGATGATTTAGAGAAAATAAAGAATAAGACCAGAATGGAATGTTGGTTTTAATAGTAAAACAACCAATTATTTTTCTAGGTTCAATTTGTCATGACTGCTCAGGTGTCTCAGAAAGCAAAAGACAGATTATTCTTGTAACCAGACAATCACATTTTGAGGTCTTTTGGTTGAGTGTTTCTAAATGGCTAAGAGTATTCCTTTGCCTTTCTCCAAGTAAAAGCATTCGTGATTCTTTAATAAGAAACAGGTAAGGCTGCTTCATTGCTTCTCTTTGTGCTTGGCAAAAGAACATGTGGAATGTGAAGATGGTGACTGGACAAGCAGAAATTCTCTTCTAATACTAATATTTCTATTTTTTAAAACAAATTAAAGATAATGTTAAGAGCATGATAATAAATATTCTCTTTACATGAGTATTCTTTAAATAATCTAAATTAAATAACATTTGATATTTATTGAGCCAAAGCTTGAATGTGTTCATGTTACTTCCATTCCAGCAGAACTTATTTGTAGGGAAAGTGTAATCTTCTTGTTGTTCAAAATAGTTTTCAAAAATAATCTGGCTCGTAAATCTTCTAATTGGCTCTTACATTTCCATTTTTCTATCCACATTTACAGAAGTCACCTTCTCCTGTTAATCATTCTACATTTTTATTGCTTCTCTTTTCTTGAGATTAAGAAAACCAAAGCATCACCTAGAGCCGTAGTTCAACCTCAATAACCACCCCTGAACACAAATACACACACGGTTGGCAACTAGAAAAGAGAATCAATGTAAAAAATTAAAATTTGTCCTTAATTTAATAGGGCCTAAGAAGCTACCTTTATCTTTTTTTGGCTCTAAGTATTTGGTTTAATGTTGATGGATCATGGCTGGTGTTCCTTTTACAGAGGAAGGCAACCTAATCATGCCCACTATAATTAGTTTATCTGCTCCTTAGGGGTGTGGGGGGAAGAAAAGAGATACTTCAAATATTTCTTAAAAAAAAAAACAGGGCCTGAATAGATGTGTGGCAATCTCAAATTCTGAGTGAAGCTAATCTACATTTAAGGTGTAATCCTCAAAGGCCGAGGATAGTGGGGCCATTCTTGTTGATTTCTAGCAGACAGATGCATTAAAAAGTGACAATATTTGGAAAATGACAGAGTAAATGAGAAAAAAAAAAAAAGAGACAGAGAGAGATCTAATTTTGAGGAAAGGATTAACTTAAATAGCCAACTTAATGTGAGATTTTAATCACAATTAAATATAATAAAAAGCAGCCTTTGTGACAAGGAATCACATTTTGTCTATTAAAATTCCCCAGAGGATAAAAGGGAAAAGAATGCTCAAAGTGTCATCAATCATCTTGTACCCCCCAGAAAAACCTGCCATTAAAATATTGCTTTTTTATATTGTATTTTTCCCCACTCTTCTTTAATGAGGTGGTTTAAAGAGTTGAGGATAAACTTTCTTAATTACCTATCCATCCCCCTCAATCATAGGTTATCCCATGTGAATTTTGTTTCATATCTGACAAACGAATAGGCCCACACAGTTATCTTAAGTGTTAACTATATATAGTCCTCATTTAACCACAATTAACAGTCTTATGGGAAAGAAAAACATAACAATAAATGTAGTTTCCATATGTCCCAGTTCTGTGTAAGGTCAGGTATCTTGTACATGCTGATATTAACTGCTGCAACAATTAGAGGATTGTAAAAGGTAAAATAACCTGTATGACTTGACCATCCCAGTGACCAAAATGCACTTATCTCAGAATAATCAAGACTGAAGCATTAATTAAAGCCTCATCTTATATTTAAGTAGGTATTATTAGCACCTTCAAAGAGAGGCACTGTTTTAAATAGGCACAGAACAAAGAAAAATAGTGCTTTAAAAATACTGTTGGAATTCACTAATATATCCCATGCCACATAAATTACAGCTTTTTATTATAAAAATATCAAGACCCTTAGATGTCAATCAGTTAAACATAAATCATCAAAAACATTTCTTAAGTTTAGAACACTGGTCAATTTCAAGATAAAACATGCTGTGTATTTAAAAAATAAATTAGAGACAAATATGAACCTAAAGTTGAAGAGAAAAGCATGTATAATGTGTGTGTATATATATATATATATATTTGTATTTAATACTATATATACATAATTGCTATATACTTAAGATATTTTATTCTTAGAAGTATTTCTACAAAAACAAGTATCTTAATAAGTTGAAAGTTTGAATACCAACAATTTGTTCTTTTTCTTGTTTTAAAAGAATGTACATCATTTATGCAGCTTGAGCTTTATAAACTAAATTAAATAAGTTAATAGCCTAAACTGTCCCTGTATTTTTTATTTTTAACGTGGATCTATTTTGGCAACATGGAGGTATATCTTTCAAACTGTTATAAATCCTACATGTGTAAGTGAAGACATTAAAGGATTTCTTAAATGAAAGTGGCCTTTTCTAACCTGAAGTGATAGAATTGATACCAGTTTTTTCCAAGACAAAAGTACATATTCAAGGAATAGCTCATTAAAAAATGCTCCATTTTTCACATTATTTCAAACTTTATGGGTAGAATGGCTCTACACGTTAATTTCAGTAAGAGTACATAAACATAGGAAAATAGTCTCCCCAAAGATGCATTTATGAGCCTGTATTTTTCAACATAAAGTGCTAAGAGATGAATAAGGAGAGCTGAGAATGTTTTGAGCTGTAAATCTTGAGACCCCCCATCCATACTGCAGTAGGCCCTGGAACTCAGCATTCTGATTTTCTCTTAGGTTCAGGATGATCGTCCAAAGTGGCTGGATGCTTACTAGGGCCATCTGGCGTCTCACCTGTGACAGCTAAAAGGATGATTTTCAGCCACTTCTGTTTCAGTTCTTCACTGTCTGCAGCAAAGCTGTGCACAGACTTGGACTGGGTCAGTTTGAAACTGTGTGGCAGGTCTGCACTCCTCAGCATATCATCCACAATGTAGCCCAGGAGTGGAATGGTGGCCTGGGCTCTGACATCCTAATGAAAAAGCATGGTACATAAAGAAAAAACATGGTGAGATGTGATCCGGCGCCCACTAAACCCCCTTTCTTACAACCATTCCACAGACTCGCACTGTGAACTCTCCATGGAGAGAGATGGGGATCCAGTGCTTTTAGCACAGTGCTTGTGTATGAGGCCACCCGTAACGTCACCTGAGTGAATTGATGAATGAGTGCTGACACCTAAATCAGCTAGAGTTCATTGACCCCACACCTCTTTCCCTGTGAGGGAGCCCATTCAGTTCTTCATTCAGTGTAAAAGGGAAGAATAGTCATCTTATTGTACAAAACCAGCAAATGTTAATGATGATTTCATTATCAAATGCAGTTCTATTTGGTGTTTCATTCATTCATGCATCAATTTACTTATGGACAGGAAAAGAATGTAGGAAAAACAATGAAACAGAATAAAAAACCAAACAACCCAATCAAAAAATGGGCAGAAGACCTAAACAGACATTTCTTCAAGAAGACATACAGATGGCCAAAAGGCACATGAAAAGATGCTCAACATTGCTAATTATTAAAGAAATGCAAATCAAAATTACAATGATGTATCACCTCACACTGGTCAGAATGGCCATCATCAAAAAGTCTACAAATAATAAATGCTGGAAAGGGTATGGAGAAATAGGAACCCACCTACACTGTTGGTAGGAATGTAAATTGGTGCAGCCACTATGGAAAACAGTATGGAGAACAGCTCTAAAAATAGAGCTACCATATGATCCAGCAATCTCACTCCTGGGCATGTATCCAGAGAAAACCACAATTCAAAAAGACACATGCACCTCAATGTTCACTGCAGCACTATTTACAGTAGCCAAGACATGGAAGCAACCTAAATGTCCATCAACAGATGAATGGATAAAGAAGATGTGGTATATATACATACAATTGAATATTACTCAGTTATAAAAAAGAACGAAATAATGCCATTTGCAGCAACATGGATGGACCTAGAGATTATCATACTAAGTGAAGTAAGCCATATAAAGACATATATCATAAAATAAATAAATTTTTAAAAAGACATATATCATACGATATCGCTTATGATATATATGGAATCTAAAAGAAAAAAAAAAAAGACACAGATGTACTTATTTCCAAAACAGAAAGAGACTCACAGACACAGAAAACAAACTTTGGTTACCAAAGGGGAAAAGGGGGTGGGAGGAGGGATAAATTAGGAGGCTGGGATTAACATATATACACTACTATGTATAAAATAGATAACCAACAAGGATCTGTATAACACAGGGAACTATACTCGATATTATGTAATAACCTATAAGGGAAAAGAATCTAAAAAAGAAATATATATATATATATATATATATATCTGAATAGCTGTGCTGTATACCTGAAACTTACCCAATATTGTAAATCAACTATATTTCAATTAAAAATACACACACACACACACGCATATCTCAGCATTTTTAGTCTATTTCTAAAATAAAGTTTTACTAGCACTTAATGTAGATATAGGCTAAAACACAACAGGTACATGAAAATTTTTATATGTTTCCAGGTGAGTGCACAATTGATTTAAGTGTTGTTTGTTTTTTAAGCACAACACAATCCATAGTGCCTGGTGCATGTCTGCTGTTCCCATATATTTATCTCAGATCCATTCAAATAAGGTCTCAAAAAATTGTTATTGGATAATGTTAATCCAAGGTTGATTTAAATTCACCTTCTCACATTCCTTTCTTTTTCAAGTATCCCTCCGTGTAGGAAAAAAAAAAAGGCTTACTAATATTTCCCATCATTAAAAATGCTCCTTCTTCTTGCCTCTCCCTCTGATTCAACCTCTTTTCCCTATGCCCTTTCCTAATTCAACTCACATTTTCTCAAACCCACTAAATAGGAATGAGAGAAGGGGGCAAATGATTCACAGGCTGAAGAAATTATTGGCTATAGAAGGAATCAGTCTAAATAAACTTGAATTTTAGTTACTTATTATTTTTCAATTATAATGAAAAATAGTGAAACTGTGTGAATTCTCTTGTTCTATAGAGAAGTAATGGAAGGATTTTAAGTTCAGTGTCTACTGGCCTCCCTCCGTCCCTTCAGAAAGATGAAGTTTAGATACCTGGGGGGCACCATACATGTACAGCACAAGAGGGTCTTGTTTGGGGATCACACACCAAGCTTTCTGCCAAGGTTTTGACTTTTCCATATATTGAAGAAAACTGCACACCACACTGTTTCCAGATACTTCTGCAGATTCGATCTAGAAAATACGATGGAAAGTAACAGTGAGAGAGAGTGAATGAACACAAAATGAACCAGATAGAGAGGTAATTCAACTTAAGGTAACATTCATAAATTACAATGTGTTTATATAAAATGTCTCCTGGGATTGTCTAGAGAAGGTTCATCTGCAATTATTATTTAAACATTCATCTAGATCCATGATGAATTAAGTCAATTTTAACTGTATTACCAGACCTGTAATTTAAATAAAATTAAACATTTATTGACTGCTTACTATGAAGGCACTTTTCTTAGCTCACTACTTATATCATTTAATCCTCACACCAACACCAAAAAGTTATTACTTGCATTATTATGAGGTTTAGAGATGAAATAGCTTTCCTAAGATTTAGGAATTGGTGTGCTTGTATTTGAGTCTGGACCCAGAGTCTGAACTCTTAGCCACAATGCTATACCAATGTCACTATGTAAGAATGCAATAGCAAAAAGGCAAATACTTACCAGGAACCTTTGACCTATACCTGAGATAATTTTAAAGTTTTTTAAATTGCAATAACTCTTTGTGGAGCCATGTACGGTTTTCTGCTTTGTCTCCAAATACGTAAATCACTGGCTAAAAAGGGAACAAAACCCTTTGACTAAATGATGGTTTCTATTACACATATCATGGAAAGCAACTGGTTTGCTTCTATTTTCTATCTCTCAAATCCAGTGTCATCCACTGAACAGTGCTGGTTTGCAAACTGCTTTGCTACCAGTTCGAGATAAGCACAGAAAGCAAGAGTAAGCATTTAGAAACTTTTATAGCAATCTGACTTGTGATGATACCCAAGCACATAATTGTGTATTTTACAAAAATACTGAGCTGTGATGGTTTAGAAAGTAAAACTGGCCCTTCATCACAGATAGTTTGAGAAGCATTGACTGGCAAACAATGGACTGCTAGCCCACCACCTGTTTTTATGTGGCCTGTGAGCTAAGCAGAGTTTTTACAGATGACCATTTAAAATCAATCTGATGATCTAGAATACGAAAACTTTGGACTCCAACTAAGTGAAATGTTATCTCCCCTCTCCCAAAGGAATTCCATACTTCTTATTACCATATTACAAAAATTATACTAAATTATTACTTTTAATTTTGTCAATAAAAATTTGAGAAAATTTGTTTTCTCTCTTGTTTTAGAAGTAATATTCTCAGTTTTGCCTTTCAGCCTGCAAAGACTAAAATAGTTTCTCTCTGCCCTTTTACAGAAAAAATTTGTTGATCCTTGGTCTAGAGGACATAACAAACTAGTTGTCATGAGAAAGTTTCAAATATATATGTATATATGTGTGCATATGCACACATCCACACTTATCTTCTACTTATGGACTTCACACTATAAGTACATTTGATTAAATGTGTTAACCTAATAAGTAATTGATTAATTTTCCTCTAAGTACAGGTTTTTCTAGAAAACTACCTAGAGATTTTTATTTCATAGATACAGCCTGAAATGCACCCCTTAAAACAAGTTATTTGACTCATTATTCTATGCCAGTCTCATCCATTGCTGCTGTTCAGTCTTTCGAGACTGTGTTTCTGGAAGCTACTGAAGCATGTCTTTCCACCCTCCCTGCCAGAGAAAGTCCACTCTGGTCTGCCATACAAGCAACATCTATATCCTAGAAGAATGCAGAGTTATAGTTTGTGGGCCTGTACTTTAACCTCAAGTGGACATTGAAGTTTATGATCCTTCTTCAGTTAACAGAAATGACTTTTTGTATGTTTATACAGTGTAGGGTTCAATAAACACTCATTGATTCTTAAATAAATTGTAGAAATTCTTAATAAACCAAGTATGTCTATGATTTTAGATACATAAGAGTTTTTTTTTTGATACATAAGAGTTTTGATCATGAGTCTATTCTTCACATAATTCCAGGCTATCTTGAACTTTCTGTCAAAAAGCCGTTATTATGTAGTTTATTACTTATGTTGTTAATATCTTTGGGTGTAAAACTTATTTCAGACACTAGTCGCATTACAGTTCCTAGGTTTGGGAGGTCTGAATTTATCTAAAACATGAATCAAACTTACTTGTGAGACACTTCAGTAATATTTCAATGTAGTTCTCAGATTACTGTCACTGGCCATTAAATGATTCTTTTAATGCAATAAGCTGGAAGAGTTTTTCAGGTAATAAGACTTTAATCTAAATTTTAATAATATCATACAGTATTTTCAAAGCCAATATGATGAAACTGAGAGAAACGCTTTCCTCTTAAAAAAATATATATAGTAGTAAGTTGGGCATTAGAAGAGATGTCAATTAATACTCTAATATTTGACCACAGCTACCTTCACAAAATCAATACACAATCAGCCCTCCATATCTGTGGATGTAGAACCTAAGGATATGGAGAGCTGGCTGTATCACGCCACTGTATATAAGAGACTTGAGCATCCGCGGATTTGGTATCTGTAGGGGTCCTGGAACCAATCCCCTGCAGATGCCAAGGAAGGACTGGATTTACTCTCAAATGCACATTGGTTAACATAGCACTGTCCCTCATCTTTCTGTACAACTGAGCATGACTGCAAGAGTCAGCAATAGAACAAAAATATAAATCTTGCTCATCATAGTCCAAATTATTAAATACTAAGAGAAATAACAAAATATATTATTTGTATTCTTCAGAGTTAAAAAAATTCTGTTTCTAGTATAAAAATCTGAAAGATATCCAATATTTAATATTTCATACCTCTAAAATTCCTTTTCTTTTCTTTTCTTCACTGTCTGTGAATCCACTTATTATCTGATAACAGTCTTTACAAACTTTGCTCAATTTACCACCATCATACTCAAGTTGAGCTTTATAATCAGAACACTTCCAACAAACCACCTTAAATTAAGAAAAAATAAAGAAGAGTGAATAATCATATTTTAAAAATAACAAGATTTAAGCAATAATCAGTTATAGGTAATAATAAATGAGAAAAAGTTAAATGTAAAAGGCAAATTTTTATCAGACTAACAATATCCCCATGAACATTTGGAGTATTTGTCATGTATTATAATGCTGTTTGTGATGGGCTCTGCTTGCTCATCCTTCTCTTCCTGGCCCTAAAGGTAGGAGCTCTTCAAAGGCTTGGTCCAGACCATTACACTTCATACCTCTGGACATTTTATATCTTCCCCAAATGAATTCATGGTCTACCTTGCTCCCAGCTTTCTCCTTATCACACCTCGTCCCTCCCAACCTGTTCCCCTCTCAGAGTACTCTCTATCGCTGGAAATAGCACAGCCTCCTAACCAGTTATGGCAAGTCAGAAACCTAGGAGTCATCCCGATACCTCTCTCTACCTCACCCCATAGATTCACCATGTTATAAAGTCCTGCTGATTTTATCTCCTAGATATTTTTTCAATCTGTCCATTTTTCTACATCTTCCTTGCAATTACCTGAGTCCAAGCTATCAATGTCCTGGTTTGGACCATTATAGCCTCACGACTGGTCCTTGTAGCATTCCTACTGGAGTCCAGGCCACTACTCTAAGATCCCCTCCAAGCTATTTTCCAAATGGCATCAGATGCTTCCTTAAAAATGCTAATCTGATATATTTCTCTTCTATTTAAATTTCTTTAAAGTCTTCCCTTTGCTCTTGGATATTGAACAAATTCTTAACCATGGCCTATAAAGTCCTGCATGATTTACCTCTCTTACTCTATCTTCAGTGACACTGGCTTCTTACAGCTCCTAGAGTGCTCTGCTCCCTCCCTCTCTCATCTCTGCTTCAGTGAGTTAACTCTTGCTCATCCTTCAGATACTGACTCAAATTTCACTTCCTCAAGGAAGACTCCTCCAACTTCCAGAATACAGCCCATCTCTTTTCACTGTGCTATTAAAGTTTCATGTGCTTTTATTTTTTTTTAGAAGATGTTGGGGGTAGGAGTTTATTAATTTTTATTTATTTATTTTTGCTGTGTTGGGTCTTCGTTTCTGTGCGAGGGCTTTCTCTAGTTGTGGCAAGCAGGGGCCACTCTTCATCGCGGTGCGTGGGCCTCTAACTATTGCGGCCTCTCTTGTTGCAGAGCACAGGCTCCAGACGCGCAGGCTCAGTAATTGTGGCTCATGGGCCTAGTTGCTCCGCGGCATGTGGGATCCTCCCAGACCAGGGCTCGAACCCGTGTCCCCCGCATTAGCAGGCAGATTCTCAACCACTGCGCCACCAGGGAAGCCCTCCATGTGCTTTTTGCATGCACTGATCACAATTTGTAATCATATACTTGTGTGATTTTTCGATTAATGTTTGTCACCCTAACTAGGCTGTAAGCTCTATGAGAAATTGTCCTTGTGTATTTTGCTATTTATAGTAACTGTTTAAAAAATAACCTTGCAGTTTAAAAAATTATCTTCTTGGGGACTTCCCTGGTGGTCCAGTGGTTAAGAATCTGCCTTCCAATGCAGGGGACGTGGGTTCAATCTCTGGTGGGGGAACTACGATCCCACGTGCTGTGGGGTAACTAAGCCTGCGTGCTGCTATTACTGAGCCCGTGCACTCTAGAACCCCTGTGCTACAACTAGAGAGCCTGTGCACCACAACTACTGAAACTGCATGCTCTGGAACCCACATGCCACAACTAGAGAGAAGCCTGTGTCCTGCAATGAAACATCACACATGCCACAACAAAGATCCCGCATGGTGCAACTAAGACCTGACGCAGCCAAATAAATAAATAAATAAAATTATCTTCTTGCTTCTAGAAGAATATTTTCCCTCATTTATAGTGGACAAACTATATTTAAGAAATATAAATATTAGTAAAACTTTCGGTTTAGATTCACATCATGTAAAATTCATAATAAAAAATTGTTCATTGTTTTCTCATACTTTCAATGAAATTACACTAGGATTTAAAATTAGACATGTCTGTATCTGCAAATTCATATCAACTAATATTTATTTTCAAAGTATGTCACAGTACATTCATATTTTTGTTTGTTTACTGAAAGCAAGTATGTCAATATCTGAAATCATTTCAAGCAAACTCAATGAGAGATTTAAAAAAGTCTTGCACTGGGGGGGGAAAAAAAAGATGTTTGCTATCAATTTGATTTTGATTATAAAACTGTCTCACTGAGTCAAAACTTAGGTAAAAAGGAAGAATAAATCTGCAATGTAATTGAGAATAATCTGAATGTACTATCAATAAAAACTGTTGCACGAAAGCATACTAATAATACATTCAGTCATGAAACTACAATGCCTACCCTTCTCCATGCTTATGTGTTGCTTTTTAGTAGAAAGTATTAATCTTCAACTTGGTTTACAAGGCCCTCCAAAACCTGCTGCTACTTCTCTCCAACTTCAGGTCATGCTTTATTCCTTCTCACTCTTTCCATATGAAACAATTCAATCCCTGAAAACCTGTCAACTGCCTTAGCTGGCTTGAGTTGCTGAATCTTGTTAGAAATATTTCATTCCATTAAATGGACTAGTGTGTCCTTTTAAATTTATAACCATAAACCTCTAATAGGCATCTTTGTTTCTTTGGTAGGCTCACTTTTTCCTGCCCAGAGACAACTATTACATACTTAGCTCTCTTTCTCAAATCTCCCCCCTCCCTCTTACTTCCCCCTTCACTTTCAGATGATGACTCTTCCTCATACTTCAATGAATATGTAGATATTATCAGACCTAAATTCCCTCATTTCCCACCACCAAATCAAAAACACACCCACATTTCCACTCATCTTTCCCTTTATCCTTTTCGTTATAATGGAGGGAAGTTTCCCTCTCCCCATCAAAAGTCTGAACTTCTACTTAAGCTATAGGTTCCATCTCATATTTTCTCAAAGTCATTGACTCCTTTGGTTATTATTTATCTTTCTATTTCTTAGATTGCTCATTATGCTCCAGCTACATGACCTTTTGGCAGTCTCAAGAATAGATCAGGGCTTCCCTGGTGGCGCAGTGGTGCAGAATCTGCCTGCCAATGCAGGGGATATGGGTTTGAGCCCTAGTGCCGCAAGATCCCACATGCCGCACAACAACTAAGCCCGTGTGCCACAACTACTGAGCCTGTGCTCTAGAGCCCGTGGGCCACAACTACTGAGCCCACGTGCCACAACTACTGAAGCCCGCATGCCTAGAGCCCATGCGCTGCAACAAGAGAAGCCACTGCAGAGAGAAGCCCATGCACCACAACGAAGAGTAGCCCCCACTCACTGCAAATAAATAGAAAGCCTGTGTTCAGCAACGAAGACCCAATGCAGCCAAAAATAAATAAATAAAGTTATTTTTAAAAATAAAAAAATTGGGCTTCCCAGGTGGCGCAGTGGTTGAGAGTCCACCTGCTGATGCAGGGGACATGGGTTCATGCCCAGGTCCAGGAAGATCCCATATGCCGTGGAGTGGCTGGGCTCAGGAGCCATGGCCGCTGAGCCTGCGCATCCAGAGCCTGTGCTCCGCAACGGGAGAGGCCACAACAGTGAGAGGCCCGCGTACCGCAAAAAGAAAGAAAGAAAGAAAGAGAGAGAGAGAGAGAGAGAGAGAGAAAGAAAGAAAGAAAAAAAGAAAGAAAAATTTAAAAATTAAAAAGAATAGATGAAGCTCTATCCTACCTCAGGGCTTTTGACATACAACTCTCACTGCCTGAATGCTCTTCCTGCCTTCTTTCCTTTTTGTTTTTTTTTTGCGGTACGCGGGCCTCTCACTGTTGTGGCCCCTCCCGTCACGGAGCACAGGCTCCGGACGCACAGGCTCAGCGGCCATGGCTCACGGGCCCAACCGATCCGCGGCATGCGGGATCCTCCCGGACCGGGGCACGATCCCGTGTCCCCTGCATCGGCAGGCGGACTCCCAACCACTGCGCCACCAGGGAAGCCCCTGCCTTCTTTCTTATGGTTAGCTCTTTCTCACCTTTTAGGCATCAGCTTAAATATCAAACGCCTCAGATAGGTCTTCAGTTTTCTAACTGAAATTGGTTCCAAATCTTCTTCCATTACCGTTATTCCCCATTTTAACTTCTTGATTTCTTATTGCATTTATAGTCATTTGAAATGCTTGTCTGTTAATTTGGTCTGTTTTCTCCATTAGAATGTGAGCTCTGTGAAGCTGGCTACCATTTTGCTTACCAGTTTTTCTCCAGGACCCAGCACAGTGCTTTGCATAAAGTTATCACCAACAAAAGTTTATCAACTAAGTGATTTATTGAATGATTTCTTTGTTTTTTTCCAAGTTAATGATTTTACAACACTTATATAGTGACTAACAACCTTAATGACCAAGAAAGCTCACATACATGTCCACATGCTCGACAATGATGCCTTCTCCTCGTCAGGGCATTAAAAGGCTCCTTGCATTTCATACACATTGTAACTTCATTATCTCGGATCCATCTTGGGGCTCTTTTTCCTAGCTCAGCAGTCTAAAAAGGAAAGAGATTCAATTTTAATGGCAAAAACTGTCATTTCCATCCATCCATCCATCCGTTCATTCATTTATTTATTTTAAAAAGAATTTTAACAACATTGCTCATACCATGTTCTGAAACTCAAGATCCAGAAAAAGAGAGAGAAAAAAAAAAGTTCAAAGACATTTAACAGCATGAAAAGGCACTCTATTTTATTCATCTAAGAAGAAATGAGATCCTGTCCAAATAGCCAGTTTTGGCAATGCAAAGGGAAAAGACTGGGTAACAAAATAACTAGATAGATCTTCTGCAACTGCAAAGAGAAAAGAACTTAAAGAATTTAATTCAACTTACAGAAACCTCTGAGTGAATGTCATTATCCTTGGCAATTGCATTTCTGAAGGTTTCATACCTCTGATGGAAAGCATCAATAGTCTCTTGAAGTGCCTAAAATATACATGAAATTCAAGGCAGATATTAAAGTATCACATGCAAATTAATAAAAACACTTTTTTAAACAAATATCTTGGATGGAAATCACCTTAAAAATTAAATGACCTTATTCTGATGACTACAATATGTGCATAATACAACAATATGTGCACATCTGGGTACACATACAGAGGTTACCACAAAACAAAAATGAAAATAGAAATCAGGTTTACCTTGATCCATTCTTCTTTGTCTTGCTCAGAACTAAAACAAACAACAACGAAAAATTAAAGTGAATAAAGAGAACCTTAATGAGTTATACCTGGTGCATACAACTGTATTTATATTAGTCCAACTTTCTGAAAAATTCAGGGATGTCCAAGAAGGAGTTATAATAAAAATTAAACAGAATCTCTGGCAATTGAACAAATGAATTCATAAACATAGTTTTATACCATCCACTTACTTTGGTACACATAACTTTTGATGGAGAGAGTTAAGTTTGGCTTCTATTAGTTTAACCACCATCATCTAGTTGTATATATCAGGTATCTGTAGATCTAGCATTATACTTGATATAGGCCTAGTCTTCCAATTCACCTTTATGAAAACACATGAGGCTTTGAAAGGCTGCTAGTCACAACCCATCTTAGAAAAGATTGCAATTATCCTTGAGACTATAAATTATCTGTGTAAAGCCTTAGGGAGCTATGTAACATTTCCTTTGGTAAACAATTTAATTCTATTTTGCTAGGCTTCAGGCAATACCATACCTAATTCATTATAGATAAAACACAACGAAGATTTAAATGCCTGTAGGAAGGAGGTTTCACAGATTAATGAACCCCAGTATTTAATAATTTTCTGTTGGGAAAAAATGTCCCTTTTAGTAGACTTTGTACTCAGTAAGATCTCCAAACTGAGGGATTGTGAAGAGTGGGCTCTATTTGTTTGCATGTATTTGGTAGACATGGGCTAAGTCTGAGTCCCTGTCCCAGCCTGAATGTCACATGCCACAGTCCCACAGGTATCACATATGTATAAGTCTGTGATCATACCATCCATGTGACACCATCCATCTTTCTCACAAAAACTGAGTATCATGATGTGCCAGGAATACTGCTGGAATCCGTGCATGTCAAATGTAAGATTCTGCTTATATTTCACCTGGGGATCCTGAACCAAGAACCTTGGTGGGGGCAGGGGATTTAATCTTGCCCCTCAAAAAAGGTTTCTCCCTAATGCTATGCCCCACCCCCACAAAATCAGCTCTATTGCTCTGGAAGCATAGTTATTTGCTAGCTGCTTTTAGCCTTTTAAATGCAAAGTAACTTGACAAGTCTTTAATGCCTTTTGTTTTACTTTCTCAATCATGGCAGATTTTTAAATTTACTCCTTTGTTTAATTTACTCATCACTATATTTTTATATCCATTTAGCAATAGAAAACCATTGAATAAAAACTACATAAAATAATTTTGTTTCAAAAGTTTATATTCTTTTGAATATGGAAGGGGAGGCAGAGTGTGAGAGGTCAGTCTTCAGGCTGATTTATTTAATAAGAAAAGTAGAACATTTTTTTCTGTGTTGGCTTCAGAAGTGATTTCTCTTTAAATATCACCAAATATATACGCAATTTGGGGTTCCACGTAATCCTTCAGACTTTCTGAGAATTTCAGTGTTTGTTCTTCTTGAGAGAGAGACTTCTTGAGAGAGTCATTATAGACCAGAAGATAAGTAATCACACTTCATTCAGATCTTCAATTCATCATATAATCATAAATACAACTAAAGCAATGAGATTAGGGGAATAAGAAATTTAAGGAAAAATGAATGTTTTCAGTACTAACTGGAATGTATCCAATAGTGCATATTGGAACTCTACAAAATGATAACTGCCTGTACTTAAGAAAAATTTTCATGAATCAGCCCCATCCTGAAGCGAAAACAGCCCAACCTGCTAATGGAGGGGGGCTGGAGTCCGTCTCAACTCAGGTAACCCAAGAATCCTTGATAATCTCTCTTCTGCTGTTCAGACACATCTCTTGGGTTTGCAGATTTGGAACTATGCTGATATTCAGAGCCAGCAGAACCTTCATTCATCTGTAATGAAGACTTCTATGATGATCAGAACAATTGATGAGTCTTCTCTGTGGCCAGGGCCAATCATTCAGGGAGTCAACCACTGAGTGAGGACTTAGGTCAGGGGCTTCCAAGTACAGTAACATAAATTGTTCTCTTGGGTTTGATGGCTGGGGTCCAAATCCCACCATGATAAAGTAGGAAAACCATAACATCCAAGCCAAGTCCTCCACCATTTGAACTCATGCTTGAAATGCTGCCTCCTAACCCTCAGGGTAGCCTCCTGGCAGCTCCCTAAGTAATGCAGGTTCATTATATATTTTCTGTGGGAAATCAAAGAACTGGCTAGGTATTTCTTCAAACTTTCCTAACCTGCCACATGTTCCATATCTATAATCACCAATTCCCTGCCTCCCTGGGTACAGATTCCTATTAAAATAATGTATTCTCTTTTGAAAATGTGAAGTTTAAGCTCGTACATAGTTACTAAACACAAATATCCAGGATGAGTTCACCTAAGCAGCCAGAACCACATGCTATTGGTGCAAAGGAATAGAAAGGAAGAGAAGGGCTCTCTGATTCTCCATGGATTCTAGGGTATGAAAACCATCAGAGATGGGATTAGTAGTTAACCTCTGATCTGTGAACTTCTGGTGTATCTCAATTTTCACCATGCTAGGTTTTTTTTTTTTATAGGATAAATGGATGACAGTTTCCTAAAGCAGATATTTTAAAACCTGACAGCACTCTGTCTTCTAGAGGTTCACGCATGAGGTAGCTGTGATCTACTACAGTGGTTCTCATGTTTTGTTTCATTTTTTTTCCTTCCAAACAGGGTTATGCTAGGGGGATGGATGCTAGGCCTCCAGCTCTTTCTCTCCCACTCAATAAACATAAAAGAAGAGCCACCCCTTCCAGAAGTCCTGGTTGCTAGAGGCTACTAGAGCCCCAAATGGCCCCCTTCATGTATCCTCAACTGTGGCAGGAGAATCATCTTTTCCAAAATGCCTCCCAAATGATTGATTTCCAAAATCATTCTCTCCATCAAAGTGCCATTAAGTCCTATAAATGCAGAGTCTCTGAAGGACAGATAGTTAAAGCTTCAACATTTATCATGAAATAATAAACATCAATCAACATTTGTGGACCAAAAGGAAGGATGGCAGAAAAAAGGTTAGAGAACTTTTTCCTAGAAGACTCAAAACTTTGGCTTGAATGCAACAATTCGGTCACTTTAATTTACTGAATGCTTACTGTCTGAAAAACCACTGTCCTAGGCACTACAGAGGAACCAAAAGGGAAGACATAATTCTTGACTTTCAAGAGCTTACCTCTTTCCATTTATGTCCAACCAGACATGGGATAGATCCTCAGAATTATTTTGTCCTACGATTTATTCTGATTCTTTTGTAAAGTTGTGAGATAGGAATGGTTCTCTTACCTGGCTTGCAGTTCCAGTGTTCTCTCTTTCCCAGATACCTGGAAAGTGTGTGGATATTCCTCATTGTGAGTCTCTACAATTTTCATTCCATCAATGCCAACCCTGGTTCGAACTGTGAATTTAGAGCCCACCAAGCTGAATCTTGGCACGCAGTACAGCAACATGTTGTTGAACTGCAAGAAGGCAGAACACATGTCAAAAAAAAGGAAAACAAAGAAGACAGAGGAAAGTGACCAATATTGAAAGTAGCCCTAGACATAAATTCCAGGGAATACCATACTTTCTATGTGAGAAAAATTACTTAAATACCAGAGAGCTTTTATGCTTATATCAAAATTGTCATATTTTAAAATTTGTAACATATATTCCCCCCGTGTTGGTTCATAAATATTTTATTAATATTTAAGTAAACCAATCATCATTTTGTATTAGTAAGGAAATTAGTTAAGGAAATTAAGCTCAGCAACAATTTATTAAGGACCTCTATATACAAGAAACTGAAGTTCTCAACCATGTAAGTTGAAGCCCTTAGACAATAAAATTTCTAACTGTTGTGTCAGGCAACAAGTCTACAACAGCTGTTAGAGGAAAAGATTAATATTTAGCAATTATTTTTACCAATGTGTTTAATGTTGTTTAAAAAAGTGGGCAAATTTTTTGCAGTACGCGGGCCTCTTACTGTTGTGCCCTCTCCCGTTGCAGAGCACAGGCTCCGGATGCGCAGGCTCAGCGGCCATGGCTCACAGGCCTAGCCGCTCCGTGGCATGTGGGATCTTCCCAGACCGGGACACGAACCAATGTCCCCTGCATCGGCAGGCGTACTCTCAACCACTGCACCACCAGGGAAGCCCCTGCCCCACATCTTGCTTAAGAATTCATCATGTACGAATTAACAGAAAAGTCATTTATTTTAGCAAAAAGTCTTTATTTAAAATGAAGAAACTTATTTTGAAACTGAATCAAATTAGTGCCTCATTTCTAGTCAACCATGAACAGCTCCTGGTCTTCCCTGGTGGTGCAGTGGTTAAGAATCCGCCTGCCAATACAGGGGACACAGGTTCAAGCCCTGGTCCAGGAAGATCCCACATGCCGCAGAGCAACTGGGCACGTGCGCCACAGCTACTGAGCCTGAGCTCTAGAGCCTCTCTAGTGAAACCCGCATGACTAGAGCCCACGCTCGCAACAAGGGAAGCTACCGCAGTGAGAAGCCCGTACACCACAACGAAGAGCAGCCCCTGCTCAACGCAACTAGAGAAAGCCCGTGCGCAGCAACAAAGGCCCAACGCAGCCCAAAATAAATAAATAAAAAATAAATAAATTTATAACAAAACAAAACAATGAACAGCTCCTGCTAATCAGTACCAAGCAATGATTTGGGGAAGGCAGTTAATTAACTTTTAAATATATTAAAACATGCAAAAGGATGAAACTCTAAATATGGGGGTTAATTTGTAGGCAGATTCCTAAAGAAGGTCCATATTTATCTTTCTACTTCATATTTATTGTTTCTAACACTGTTTCTAGGCTTAAATATATTTTTGTAAGACAAAAGCAACTGGGAACTTAAAACACTTATGTAACCTCTCATGTCTCAGGATCATTATCTGTAAAAGTCACAGGTTGTTGAGAGGATTAAATGAGGAATAATGTCCTGTTTTGTCAGGTCCTCCTTTTAGCTCCAACCATGAAAGAAATGTTGATGGATATTTAAAACATTTCAACATGTTTATGTGACAATATCCACTGTACTCATTCTGAAAGCAAATTTTTTACCAGTTTGTTCCTCGCACATTATTTTGCAACTTCCTATAACCAACATCATAAATTTCATTTCCACACTGGATAATGTAGAAATAAAAGGGCACTAAATACATTTTTTTTTTGCGGTATGCGGGCCTCTCACTGTTGTGGCCTCTCCCGTTGCGGAGCACAGGCTCCGGACGCGCAGGCTCAGCGGCCATGGCTCACGGGCCTAACCGCTCCGCGGCATGTGGGATCTTCCTGGACCAGGGCACGAACCTGCATCCCCTGCATAGGCAGGCGGACTCTCAACCACTGCGCCACCAGGGAAGCCCAATACATTTTTATCATATATATCTGAGCACCACATTTCACATTTACATTTCTAGAAGGGAACATAATGCTTTATCATTAATTGTCCACTGTATTCTAAGTATGGCAATCACAGCCTCATTGTAGTACACAGAATTTAAAGATCTGAAAATATCTTAAAGGTTCTCATCACCGTCCCAGCTTGATTAAGGCAACAGCTTGCTAACTGTTCATGTTAGTATTTCTTTCTCTCTTCTATAAGGCCTTCTCAGAAGGGGATTTGGCCATGTCTGAATGGTACTGCAGGAGTTGCAAAGCACCACCAAAATGGACAGGACTAGCCAATAAATACCCTTTTTCTTCTACTTAGAGGTGAAGGTAATAATGCTTACAAAGAAGATGCCATATACGTAAAGGAATTAAGTAGCTAGTCCTGTTTCCTCGGTGAACCTGGCTCCTGTGGCAAAAGCCACCATCACCTTCTCTGGGTTTTGCTGGTGCTAAAAGAGGGAGTTATAACAACTGTAGCACCAAGTAGACTGACTTTCCCTTTTAGTGAAAGAAACTCCTTTTATCCCATGCCCGCTGCTCAGAAGTAGTTATTGACAAAGCAGTCTCTGGCTGGCAAGCTCTAGAAGTGCTAGGCTGTGCCGAAACCTAGAAGAAAGTCTCAACTTTATTAAAAGTGTAGGGAGGTTCCTGCTTCTTGATCTCCAGGGTTCCTCGACTAGTTATTTCAAGTCTCTTTAAAATATATTATTTGATTGAAATAATTCAATTTCATGTCTCACAAGTGACAGTTCATTAAAGTTTGTTTTAGAAGGTAAAAATACATTGTTGGAGAAAATTTCCAGTGCCCGGCCTGTATTCAAAGTTTAAATAAGTCAAGAGAAAAAAATATATATAACTCTGTCAAAAGGTATAAAGAAATAAGGACTAGAACTCCAAAGAGCCAAGGTAAAACCTCCTATCATTCTATGGGATAATTCAGTGATTTTTTTTTTTTTAACTTTCAGATGTCAGGTGTGGTTATTTACTTACTCAACAGAGTACCCTACATAACATAAAAAGCATGATGTGGAGGCAAGTAAATATGCACACATGATGATCATTTGAAAGCTGAAATCAAATTCTAAATATAACTTGGTTTTTCAGATTTACACGTGTAATATCCCCAGAATAGGAAATAGAAAACTATTTTCCTTCTAGAGAGAAAGGAGAAAAAATAAAAGGTACTTCTGAAGTTTCTACATATAAGAAAAAAAAGATGCTCCATAGGAATAAATGTGTGCTGGGGAGAGGAGAGATTCTGTGACAAGTACAGTACTAGAGGGGAAGGACTGAAGGAATGAACACTACAAGAACTGCGTCTAAGATGGTCTTCAAAAGATGAATAAGGCTTTCCTAAAGTTTCTGCTGTATGACTCCATTCTCCTGGAAGGCAATGACACGATATGTTTGATAGCTTATAATAACTGGAACAAGATGGGTACTTTTCTCTAAGTCACTACTGTTGTATTCCCCCAAGGCTCTTTGCCATCTGTCCTCCAAATAGCTGTTTAATTTGGCTCTGAATTAAGGTATTCAATCCAAAACTATTTCCAGAATAATTCTCAAATGTGAAAATTAAACCAAGACCATTGGTTAGACACAGAGCTGAAAGTTTAACTACAGAAACCGTGACGCTGATGTTGAAGAGGGGAAAGGAAAATTATCTAAGCACCTACAGGTAAAGCCAAAGGGAAGACACTGACTCCCAGGCATTTTGCCCAGAACAGTATATTAAGCATGTCTTTTTAATCTGGATTTTTGATGCTTTGACATCTTGGGGCCTTGCTGACATTGGAGGACTGCCCCCTCTCAGGACTACTCAATTCTTTGAAGACAGTGAGTGACTCACCTGCAAGCATGACTTCCATATGGAAACCAACAGATCCAGAACTCACACCCCAAGCACCTCCTCTATTGAGCGCTTACACTCCGAGTCAGTATTCCCCTTCCGTAAGAACCCTAAGGCTAGGTACCAGTCAACAGTCCCTGTGTGCCAGAGCCTGATGAAATTATTTAAACTAGCAAATTCTAAGCTGGTTTTCTCTGCCTTGCCTATCCCTTCTCGCAGAAACCACAGTACAGGCTCTTGCCCACATTTGCTGCTTGCTTTCTCTGCCTTCTGACCAACTCTGGTGCTTTCTCATGTAGCTCTTCCATGGTGTGGCATGCCCCCTCCTTTTGGAATCTGCGAGTATAACTATCTTTTCAATGGCAATCATCTCCTGATGTGTTGGCCTCACCATATTTGAATAACAAAACCTACATTTCAAAATAAACAGCCCTCTGGACCCTAACATGACATCACATGTCCCTGATTAACATTTAGGTCTCTGTAAAGCTTCTGAAAGGTGAAGTTCTTCTGTTGAGCTCCAATGAAGATTTTTTTATAGTTAATTTGTAAAATATCTATAAATTTTTAAAGTTATTGAGATATAATTCATATACCCTTTTAAAATGTATAATTCATGGGTTTTATATAGTTGTAAATTGTGCAGCCATCACGACTATCTAATTTTAGAACATTTCCTGACTCTAAATGGAAATCCTGTATCCATTTCCTCCTCCCCACCAGCCCTAGGCTACCACTACTTACTTCTTGCCTCTATGCATTTGCCTATTCTAGACATTTCATATAAATGGAATCATATCACACAGTGTGGCTTTTTGTGAATGGCTTCTTTCACTTTACACAATGTTTTCAAAGTTCATCCATGTAGCATGTATCAGTATTTTATTCCTTTTTACTGCCATATAATGTTCCAGTGCATGGTTATACCACATTTTGTTTATCCATTCATCAATTGATGGACATTTAGTTTGTTTCCACTTTTTGGCTATAATGAACACTTTTGCTATGAACATTCATGTATAAATTTTGTGTGGACATGTTTTCAATTTTCCTGAGTTATACAAACTTGAAGTAGAAATGCTTTCAAGAGAGATACTGAATACCCTTCTGCATGACAATTAGTTCCTGTAAATCTTCCTTTCAAAGGAAGCTGTAACCAGACAACAGAAACCTCTAAGCCCCTAAAAACTCATACTAAGGCTAGTGAGATGACTGCCTTGCAGCAGAAAAGTCAGATGTGAATAACATCCTGAGAATGTGTCATGTGCCAGTTACTGGGCAGCCTCTTTACCAATGTGTCTGTTTCTTTGCCTATAATAACAATCATAGTAATAGCTAACATTTACTGAGCTATTACTCAATGTTAGCTTATTGTTACTCATTGTTAGCTATTATGATTATTATCATATCATTAGATATAGAAAGGAACTGGAATTAACAGAGACTAAAATATAATGGCCTGGATGCCCCAGGGAGAGCTCCTATATTTTTGATAAGTTCTAGACTAACTGTCATTTCCCAGAAGTTAAGAAAGGGATGGAGATTGATTGCAGTGAAAAGGAACTATGTAGCAAACTCATGTACTTTTACATAGATATCTGAGGCACAAGTTTTACAACTCTGTCTATATATTTCTTCAACTAGAAGAATTAAAAATAGTGGTCCCCACATATACACTGATGGCTACGATCATCATGGAAAGGTTAAATCATCTTCACTACGAGTTACTGAAGTAAATTATACACGGTAAGTACACAGAAAAATTATAGAAAAATACTTCAAAAAAAGAGTTGTGTCCTTGAAAGAACAAGTTTCAGTTACTAAGGACATTCCCTGATGTGGAATCCTGACAGTACTGACTAAACCAGGTTAGATATAATTGTTCTGGTGAGAGCAAGCAAGCATCCTACTTTTCCAAGATGCATATAACAATGTTTATGGGTTATTCTTATGTGACTTGCTCATACTACAAAACTCACTAAGAAAAGGTAGCGTTCTTGTGCCGATGTGTTCCGAGCAGCTAGTTTGAGGATCTGTCCTTCTTTTATTAGTTCATTTGAAGGATTTACAATGTCTTCTTCTTCTCCCAACATTTCATAAATCTCTAAGAGTTTCTTTAGGTTCTCCTAGGAAATTAAAGCAAAACACACAAGATCATATATAAGGAGGTTTCACCTTAGTTCCTTTAATAAATGACCTTAGCTAAAATATACATAATTCAGAAGGGATTGGAACTAAGCATAAATTTTGGTATAAAGTATGTCAGTTATGATCAAGTTAAAACCTGGGAGAAGAGGGATAACACTAAACATTTTATAAACAATCTTTTTTGTTCACTTGTATCAATTCATTTGGGTCCAAACCTGTAGATAATATCAGACTATATTATTGGCAATTATCTAATTAGAATATTCCTATTTCCTCTGGAAACCACTTACCATTTTTCTTATTGCACTATTAGAATGACTTGCTGCTGTAGATATAATTTCAAGTGATTCTAAATGGAAAAAAGGAAAAGTAAATACATTTTGTCTTTACTATGTTACTAGATAGCTGAATAATATACAGTACAATAAGAAGAAATCTGAGGCCGAAGATACACGATAAAAGCAGGGGGCAATTTGCATTTATAAGCTGGATACTTTCAAAAGTTCATTTGTAAGCAGATTATTTGGAACTTGAAGGGTATCGCCTCATTAAAAGTCATATACAGTGAGTAGGCTCTCAGGTACCTTTAATCGATAAGGGACCTTCAAAATAACAAACACCCTGACACTAGCTCGGTACAAGGAACTTTGTCAGGGCCTTTCATATATATTAGGTCAATTCATTCTTATGCAACCTTGAATGGAAAGTATATTAGCTTCATTTGGCAGATGAAAGAAGTAGAGAGTGATGTGACTTGGCTAAGGTCACAAATTATGATACTGAAGGGCTACATTAGAACCAAAGTCTTCTGACTCAAATTTCTACAACATTTCAGCAGTAGTAAGTATTTCACTAGTTTTATGAGCAAATTAACCACCAAGCATAATCATTTTTCCCTGCGAAAACACACTCACATTTCTAGTCTAGGTGAAAGGGAATTTTCTGATGCCAATGTTGATGGAGGGTTTTGTTGCTAGGGCAGGTGGTAGTGAGAGATGGGAATGGGAACTCTGATATGGGCAAGGTAGGAGCTTTGGGACTACTGGTGAAGAGATGTGGAAGCTAAGGCTTCCTGCTGGATTAACCTGAGGGAATGTTCTCAATCCTACATCACGTCCTGCTCTCTTCCTTTCTTTCCTATCTTATGAATACTGGTTGGGATAATTCTGTTACCACAACAACCTCATCATTCTGAACCAACTTTTCTGTCTTCTTCGTTCTACTGCCGAACAAAATGCACTTTTGTTGCTTTCCCCTCTACTTTTAGGTCTCTAAAAGTACTTCTGTGATTTCCTTACAATTTTAGTGTAAGTAGTAATGGGAAACCAAAAAGAGTAATAAAATACCCTATTACGTTGCTGACTCTCTGATTTTTGACATAGCTACCTTAGCAGGAGTCAAAGTCTTTTGAGTATAGAAGAAGCAGAATTGTTATTTATATTTTACAGAACTATCCTGATTTTGACAATTCTTTGCATTCCACATAGGATCCAAGGTAGAGGGAGACAAATTAAGATGGGCTGGGGCCACCACCCAAGAGACTAGTTTGAGAAGTAGCAATGGTGATCCAACCTCCAATCCTACCACTACTAAAACCAAGCACTCAGGCCAGGTGAGTGGAAAGTGGAGATGAAGTGGAAAGTGGAAGAAGACAAGTTAGGATAATTCTAAACTTTAGAGGAAAAAAGGGGAGATAAGAAGTTCCTGTGGTCACCAACTCACTTGGATGGTGGGAGAAACATCACAGATAGCCTATGTTCAGAAAGAGACCCAGTCTCTAAGACCAAACATTGTGTTTTGTGTTCATCTCTCAACAAGGTTCACTTATAACAGCAGACAAAAAATTATTAGAGAAAGTAGCAATGCTTTAAGATTGTACACCAGTATTGTTTGTACATGTTGATTACTAATCTAAGTTAAATTTTCTCTTCACAGTTAACTGATTTTTTTTTAAAGTACACAAGAAAACAAAATTCTTATTGAACCTCTTAAGCCCTAAAAAGTCTTCCATTATGATCTAATGTAGCACAGGAGTTGAGCAGGAATAAAGTTTTCTCAGGGAAAATGTTAACTGACATTAAACAGCACCATTGCCTCTTCTGTCTTACAGTAGAAAAAGGTAGAGAGATATCACTTTGCTTAGGCTATATTTACATAGTAAATATCATCTTAGTTTTCTTGGTATGTATCAACCTACCTAATTAACCAGCAGCACTAGTAATTCTGAATGGTTGTATTCTTCCTGTGAGAAGGTAATTGTGTATTGCTATTCCAGATGTCTCTAAGACTACAGTTTTATATTTCAGAGTTAACGATTAACGTGAAACCAGCATGAGAAATGTGATTTGCATTGCTCCAAGCCTATGATTTGGGCTCAAAAGTGCTTGCCCAATTGAGGTACTGATGACAATTTCCAGTGAGGTTATTTTCTGGCACCAATATTTTACTAAAGTGGCTATGAGACCTATCTCACTTTGAAATCACAAGTCTACTTGGCCACTAAATTATCCAAAAATGGAAAGCAGGGGCGGGGCCGGGGTGGGGGGAGTATTTACTTTTAGCATCATTCCAGTCCGGAGAGCCAGGGGGCAATTTCCTTAGGTAGTCCTTAAGGAGCATCTCATACCGGGGAATCCGCTGAACAGGTTCTAGCATGTGATGCTGCAAAGTCAAGCTCCCACAGATCTTCTGTTTCTGTAATGAGAAAGGTTTTTAAAAAAAGATTTAAAAATTAGGTTAGCCAGTCTAAAAAAGTTCAACGTAACATAGAATTTTCATTAAGGGCAGCATTTCACTACAAAGTGTGGTCTGTGCATCACCTGCATTAGATATACCTGGGATGCTATTAAAAATGGAAATTCTGAACCCCATCGCAATCTATGAAACCACAATTTTGAGGCCACAGCCTGGGCATATGCATAAAAACGCCTCCAATTCTTCCATTAAAGTTTGAGGACCACCAATCTAGTGTTAAGAACAGAAAGAAAAATCAAGCAGAATTTAAGCAAGAAATTTCCAGATTGATGACATCCACTTCAATTAGTCACTACAAGGGTTTGTCAGGTCACATTATTAAATCATACTCCAGAGATTTTCAAAAGAAGCATCTATTCAATGAGGTTCACTAAGTAACACTGCATTAAATGACTCTGGACTCAGCAGAAACTATTTCATAATAAGGCTACCATAAATGTCATTACCTTTTAACTTAAAAGACTCCACATGTAGAAAAGTGACAAGATGAGAAAAATTTAATTTTTCATTAGGTCATGGCATTCTTTTCCATTAGAAATCAAACTCTAAACAGATCTCCTTTGCTTAGGGCAAAACTGAGTCTATAGAACATGCTTTCAGTAAGCTGTCAACATGGAAGGAGAGAAAAAAGATTACTTGAAAAATAAGGTGTGTTCCTGTTCATATTAAACAAAGAAGAAACCCTCTTACTATATTTATTGATGACGATGATCAGGGCACTGCAGGGTAAAAAATGTTGTATTAAGACATGATGTTTGCATTCAAAGCAAACAAGAAACTAAAAGCTTCATAGAGAATGGAATATTTACACATAAACTCAGGTGAGGTCAGGCTTTGGGCAGGGAAATGAGGAATACCAGGTAAGTGCAGGAAGAGGGACGTTGGAGAACAGGCCCAAGACAGTGGGGCATGAAGCATGTTTAGTGAAAGGGGGCAGTTGAGTTCTGCTCGGAAATAAGATATTTACAGGGAAATAGGGGATAAGGAAGAAAATGTAATCTGGGGCAATAATGTCAAGCTGGGTTTAGATTTACTTCATCTAATGCAGGTTTTCATGCAGGGGAGTGATATCATTAGATATGACAGCTATTAAGATTAACCTACAGCAATGTGGCTTTAGGCAGATGTCGGGAAACTAGTTTGGAAGTTATTGTAGCCCAGGAGAAAAGTAAAAAGAGCCTGAAATTAGCATGGAAGCTGAGGGTTAATGGCTTTCCTTAATAAAGTGTAAGATATTAATATTATAAGTTTAGTTATTGCATTTGATTTTCTCCAGCAAGCCTATGGTATATATATACACACATGCATATATATGTGTGTGTATATATATATATATATATATATATCTCCAGGAAAATATTACTGATCCCCAAATTTTTACATGAAGAAACTGGCTCAGAAAAGTTAGGGGAGTTTTCTAAGGTCAAGTGCTCTAAGTGGCAGACTAGAATCCTAAACTAGATTAGTTGATTCTCAATCTACCATTCCTTTCACAACTCCATCCTTTCTTCATAACATGGAGAAGACAGACGTTGCTGAGATAGTTTTAATATTTGATGAAACAACGATAATGACCACCATTGTGTAGTGAGCACTTACTATGCAACAAGCTCCATGCTAAGTCCCTTGAAAATATTATCTAACAGGCAAATGAACACATACAGAGAATGAGGAAAAGTGACAAATCAAAGATAAAGCCAAGTGATCAAATTCTGGTGAATAAAAGAATATTGGTGCTATGTGATAAATCCAATCACATAACCACAAGCTACTCTATGCAAGGCACAAAAGGTCAAGTGGAAAAAATGTTTGTAAGCTAAAGACAGGAATGGAACATGTTGACTTTGTATTGACAACAAGATGTTCATACAGAATTGTGTAGCCAGCACTCAGCATTTTGTAACTGGAGTTCAGGGGTAGAGGAATACACTAGAAATAATGACTCTATAAGCATCTGTATGACATGATGGTTAAAGGCTTGGGAAACTATGACAACATTGAGACTGTGGAGAGAAAGAAGACTATGAAGGGCAAAAACCTTGTATTCTGCCCACATTTCAATATTAACAAAAGGGGTTAGTGAAAGAACCAAAGAAGGAGCCAGTGTTCAGAAAGGTAGATGAGTGCTTAATCATGAGAGAAAAGAGATGTTCAATAAAAGGAGTGAAGGGGAAGAGCAGGACTTTTGGCTATGGCTGAGTGAGGAGACTGGCAAAATCCTCCCTTTAAAAAGCGACTTTATAATGAGAACCTACTATAGCACTGGGAACTCTACTCAATGCTCCATGGTGACCTAAACGGGAAGGAAATCCAAAAAAGAGGGGATATATGTATACCTATAGCTGATTCACTTTGCTGCACAGTAGAAACTAACACAATGTTGTAAAGCAACTATATTCCAATAAAAATTAAAAAAAAATAAAAAGCAGCTTTAAAGCTGGATAAAATTGATTTTAACAACAACAGCAATCATTTCAGCACTTTGGAAATTGACCAAAGGCACAAAACAATCTGAAAAGTGTTTCTCTTAAAAACTGCTGAACTTTGGGTAAGAACAGCAAGAAGCTGTGGTATTCTGGCCTGGGGCTGCACCTCTTCCTCTCCCAGCTCAGTCACTGTGAAGATTCTGCAAGGGTGGGGCAGGCTGTGAGGACTGGCAGTTTCTCTGCTGAAGTTGAAGAGGGCTCATTTGATTTACAGCGGTGAACCATATGCCCAGCAACACTGTCAGTGGAAGTGATGGTCTCTGAGGTGGGCAAGTGGGGAAGACCAATGACTTTAATAGCCTGAAGCTGTGTTGTGGTCGGACAATCATTTCCTTGGCTGAGGCTGTGTGAATAACCAGCAGAGACAGAAGAGAGCCCAAGCCAGCAACCTCCTGGCCACTCTGAGGTTGTGGAGATGCAGACAGAAGATACAGATAGGAGATGGGAAAGGGCCACAAGGACTTTGGAAATGGCCCGATCTTTAAATAAGTGTGTGTCCCTCCACACACAATTATAGGGCCATCAGCAGAGGAGAGAAGCTAACTGGATCTAGGTAGTTAAGCACCTGTGTTTAGCAACTGTTTGATCTTTAACCTACACAGATATAGGGGCAACCCCTATAAAGCCAAGATCACATACAAACACAAGAACATTCAACAAAAAACTGAATAGAGACATTAGTGGCTGCATACCAGAGGAGAGATAAAGTTCATAGATTTAGTCTAAGCAAGTTAATAAACAAACACAAAAACAAAAGTAACCGCAGCCACTCTCAGTAGGGAAAATCCAAATCTAGAGTTCCCACAAAATAGGTTATCTAAAATATCCAGGGCTTCCCTGGTGGTGCAGTGGTTAAGAATCTGTCTGCCAATGCAGGGGACACAGGTTTGAGCCCCGGTCCGGGAAGATCCCACATGCTGCGGAGCAACTAAGCCCATGCAACACAACTACTGAAGCCCGCGCGCCTAGAGCCCGTGCTCTGCAACAAGAGAAGGCAGCACAAAGAGAAGCCCACGCACCTCAACGAAGAGTAGCTCCTGCTCGCCACAACTAGAGAAAGCCCATGCGCAGCAACAGACTCAATGCAGCCAAAAATTAAAAAATAAACAAACAAATAAATAATAATGTCCAACATTCAGCAAAAACAAAAAGAGATATTCAAATAAACAGTGAAGTATTAACCTACACTGAAGAAAAAAGGCAGTCAAATAAAATTGTCTCTGAGTGAACTTAGATATTGGATATAGCAAAGATTTCAACATAGCTATTATATGTATGTTCAAAGAAATAAAGGTAATCATATTTGAAGAACATGAAAAGTATAACAACAATACATGCATACATAGCAATTTTCAAGGAGGAATCAGACAGTATAAAAAAGAACAAAATGAAAATTCTGGAGTTGAAAAGTACAATAACTGAAATGAAAAATTCACCCCAGAGACTCAACGGAAGAAACAAGATGGCAGAAGAATCAATGAACTTGAAGGAATATTAATTGAAATTATACAGTGTAAAGAACAAAGAGAAAAAAGGAAGAAAATTGAACAGGTCTCAGAAACTCACATAATGGGACTTCCTTGGTGGAGCAGTGGTTAAGAATCTGCCTGCCAATGCAGGGGACACGGGTTCAAGCCCTGGTCCGGGAAGACCCCACATGCCGTGGAGCAACTAAGCCCGTGTGCCACAACTACTGAGCCTGTGCTCTAGAACCCACAAGCCACAAATACTGAGCTCACGCACTGAAGCCTGCTACTGAAGCCTGCGTGCCTAGAGTCCATGTTCCGCAACAAGAGAAGCCACCACAATGAGAAGCCGGCGCACCTCAACGAAGAGTAGCCCCCGCTCGCCACAACTGGAGAAAGCCTGTGCACAGCAACGAAGACGCAGCGCAGCCAAAAATTAATTAATTAATTAATTAATTAAAAAAAGAAAGAAACTTGGGTAATGAAAATATGAAATTCAAAGAAACAATGGCTGAAAACTTCTCAGACTGATTTAAAAAAATCTACACAACCAAGAAGCTCAATCTACTCCAAGCAGAATAAATACAAAAAATATCCACATCATTTTCAAACTGCTAAAAGCCAAAAACAAAGAGAAAACTTTGAAAGCAGCAAGAGAAAAGCGATTCATTACATACAGGGGACTGTCAATACAATTAAGGGCTAACTTCTCATCTGACACAAGGGAGGACAGAAAACACTGAAATGACATTCAAATTGCTGAAAGAAAAAAGCTATCAGCCAAGAATTCTGTGTCTAGCAATGCTATCATTCAATAGTGAAGAAAAAAATATTTTCCAAATAAACAAAGCCCAAGAAAATTCATTGCTATTCACTCTGCCTCACAAGAAACACATCATTTTCATGCTGAAAGGAACTTATTCCAGAAATGGTAAATATATGGGTTAAAAACATATTTGTAGGGCTTCCCTGGTGGCGCAGTCGTTGAGAGTCCGCCTGCCGATGCAGGGGACACGGGTTCATGCCCCTGTCTGGGAAGATCCCACATGCTGCGGAGCAGCTGGGCCCGTGAGCCATGGCCGCTGAGCCTGTGCGTCCGGGGGAGGCCACAACACTGAGAGGCCCGCGCATAGCAAAAAAAAACCCCCAAAAAACATATTTGAAGACATTTTTCTTTTTTCAAATTGAAGAATAGTTGATTTACAATGTTGTGTTAGTTTCTGGTGTACAGCAAAGTGATTCAGTTATACATATATATTCTCTGTCCATATTCTTTTCTATTATGGTTTATCACAGGATATTGAATATATTTCCTGGTGCTATACAGTAGGACCTTGTTGCTTACCTATTTTACATATAGTAGTTTGTATCTGCTAATCCCAAACTCCTAATTTATCCCTCCCGCACCCCCCTTTCCTCTTTGGTAACCACAAGCTTGTTTTCTATGTCTTTGAGTCTGTTTCTGTTTCATAAATAAGTTCATTTGAGTCATATTTTAGATTCCACATATAAGTGATGTCATATGGTATTTGTCTTTCTCTTTCTGACTTACTTCACTTAGTATGATAATCTCTAGGTCCATCCATGTTGCTACAAATGACATTATTTCATTCACTTTTATGGCTGAGTAGTATTCCACTGTGTATATATACTACATCCTCTTTATCCATTCAACTGTCGATGGAGATTTAAGTTGCTTCCGTGTCTTGGCTATTGTAAACAGTGCTGCTATGAACATTGGGGTGCATGTTGTATCTTTTCGAATTAGAGTTTTCTCTGGATATATGTCCAGGAGTGGGATTGCTGGATCATATGGTTACTCTAAGTTTTTTAAGGAACCTCCATACTATTCTCCATAGTGGCTGCACCAATTTACATTCCCACCAACAGTGTTGGAGGGTTCCCTTTTTTCCACATCCTCTCCAGCATTTATTTGTAGACTTTTAAATGATGGCCATTCTGACTGGTGTGAGATGATACCTCACTGTAATTTTGACTTGCATTTCTCTAATAATTAGTGATGTTGATCATCTTTTTACGTGCCTTTTGGCCATCTGTATGTCTTCTTTGGAGAAATGTCTATTTAGGTCATCTGCCGATTTCTTGACTGGGTTGTTTGTTTTTTTGTTATGAGTTGTATGAGCCATTTGTATATTTTGGAAATTAAGCCCTTTTTGGTTGTACCACTTGCAAATATTTTCTCCTAGTCCATAGGCTGTCTCTTCGTTTTGCTTACAGTTTCCTTTGCTGTGCAAAAGCTTCTAGGTTTGACTAGGTTCCATTTATTTATTTTTGCTTTTATTTTTATTGCCTCAGGAGACTGACCTAGGAAAACATTGGTACAATTTCTGTCAGACAATGTTTTGCTATATTCTCTTCTAGTTTTATGGTGTCATGTCTTATATATTTAAGTCTTTAAGCCATTTTGAATTTATTTTTGTGTATGGTGGGAGGGTATGTTCTAACTTCATTGATTTACATGCAGCTGTTCAGGTTTCCCAACACCAATTGCTGAAGAGACTGTTTTTTCTCCATTGTATATTTTTGTCTCCTTTGTCGAAGATTAACTGACCATAGGTGTGTGGGTTTATTTCTGGGCTCTCTATTCTGTTCCACTGATCCACATGTCTGTTTTTATACCAATATCACAGTGTTTTGATTATTGTGGCTTTATAGTATTGTCTGAAGTCTCGGAGGGTTATGCCCCCAGCTTTGTTCTTTTTCCTCAGGATTGCTTTGGCAATTCTGGGTCTTTTATGGTTCCATATAAATTTTAGGATTATTTGTTCTAGCTCTGTAAAAAATGTCATGGGTATTTTGATAGGGATTGTATTAAACCTGTAGATTACTTCCGGTAGTATGGCTGTTTTAACAGTATTAATTCTTCCAATCCAAGAGCATGGGATAGTTTTCCATTTCTTTGAATCATCTTCAATTTCCTTTATCAATGTTTTATAATTCTCAGAATATAAGTCTTTTACCTCCTTTGTCAGGTTTTATTCCTAAGTATTTTTTTTTTTTGGCTGCAATTTTAAAAGGGATTATTTTTTCACTCTCCCTTCTTGATATTTCACTGTTAGTGTAAAGAAATGCAACAGATTTATGTATGTTAATCTTGTATCCTGCTATGTTGCTGAATTCATTTATCAGTTTCTAGTAGTTTCTGTGTGGAGTCTTTAAGGGTTTTCTATATACAGTATCATGTCATCTGCATATAATGACAATTGTACCACTTCTCTTCCAATTTAGATACCTTTTATTTCTTTTTTCTTGTCTGATTGCTGTGGCTAGGACTTCCAAATACTATGTTGAATAGAAGTGGTGAGAATGGGCATCATTGTCTTGCTCCAGATTTTAGTGGGAAGGCTTTCAAGCTATTCACCATTGAGTGTTATGCTGGCTGTGGGTATTTCACAAATAGTTTTTATTATGTTGAGATATGTTCCTTCAATACCCATTTTAGTAAGAGTTTTTATCATGAATGGATGTTGCATTTTATCAAATGCTTTTTCTGCATCTATTGAGATGATCATGTGGCTTTTGTCTTTTCTTTTGTTGATGTTGTCAGCATCACACTGATCTGCGTATAGATATTTTTTAATATTCTCTTAACTCCTTTAAAAGACATAAAATTGTACAAAACAGTAATCGTATCACTATATTAATGAGTTTAAAAAACATATAAAAATATTTATGTAACACAGGGGCTTCCCTGGTGGCGCAGTGGTTGGGAGTCTGCCTGACAATGCAGGGGACACAGGTTCGAGCCCTGGTGTAGGAAGATCCCACATGCCATGGAGCAGCTGGGCCTGGTGCCACAACTGCTGAGCCGGCACTCTAGAGCCCGTGAGCCACAACTACTGAAGCCTGTGCTCCTGGAGTCCATGCTCTGCAACAGTAGAAGTCACCACAATGAGAAGCCCACGCACCTCAACGAAGAGTTGCCCCCGCTCACCACAACGAGAGAAAGCCCGCACACAGCAACGAAGACCCAATGCAGCCAAAAATAAATAAATAAATTTGTAAAAAATAAATATATATATATTTATGTAACACAAAAGAAGTCAAGGAGCAAAAGAATCCCCACCCAGGGGCTTCCCTGGTGGCACAGTGGTTGAGAATCTGCCTGCTAATGCAGGGGACACTGGCTCAAGCCCTGGTCCAGGAAGATCCCACATGCCACGGAGCAACTAGGCCCGTGAGCCACAACTACTGAGCCTGCGCTCCACAACAAGAGAGGCCACTATAGTGAGAGGCCCCCGCTTGCCACAACTAGAGAAAGCCCTCGCACAGAAACGAAGACCCAACATGGCAAAAATAAATTAATAAACTCCTACCCCCAACATCTTAAAAAAAAAAAGAATCCCCACCCAAATAACCTTATGTGATCTAAAGAATTCCTTTTCAATATTTAAACTTCAGCAAAGAAGAAATGATTAACAGTTTTGACTAGAGAATCAAACAGAAATTACTATGATATTATTAAAATGTATTATCCAGGTCTGATGAAATTTTAAGTCAGGACACATATATAAAATGACCAAGAAAACACCCCAAAATGAAATAAAACAGAATACAGTTGATCCTTGAACATGGGTTTGAACTGCACAGGTCAGCTTATATGCACATTTTTTTTTTCAGTAAACGCGTACTACAGTACTAATCCATGGTTGATTGAATCCATGAGGCATAACCACAGATATGGAGGGCTGACAGTAAAGTTATACTGGGATTTTCAAACACATAGGGGATCAGCACCCATAACCCTTACATTGTTCAAGGATCAACTGTAATTATGTTTCTAAAATGTCAGGGTTTATAGCAATCATTCTTTATATTCATTTATAGTCATTCCAACATCTCAACCTCTGAAAGCAAGCAAGAGAGACACAGAGCTGAATGGGAACTTACTTTGTAAATTAATGTGGACCCTGATAAAGCCAGACTTTCCTTGTCTCAAAAGCAAATGGAGAATTCACTGTTCAGTATATTGCATGTGCTCAATAAATATTTTAACTTTGCAGAGATGATTTCTGCATAATTCAGACCAGAATGGAATTTGGCCAGGTGTCTCAAATCTCTCAATCTAAATTTTAGATCTAGAAGACCTTATGATTTGTACAGAAAAAGTAATTATAGCCTTGAACAAAAGAGTCCTATTACCTGAATTTCTTCAATTATTGATTTGAACTGGGGAATACGCTCTGTCATGTTTTTAACCAATTCCATTGCGTTATCAAATCCCTTCACATATTCTCCATACATCTTAAGGAATGGGGCCAATTTCTGAAGGATGTCACCAATTCTAGGGGTAGTTTCCCTGTATAAAACATAGAAACAAGTTGTTAAGATTTCTTATAGAATGAGTGAATTAACAGGACTCCAAATGAAGTAATCACTTTCTACATGTACCCTGCGCTTTGTCAGATCCACTTTGCTGTGAGATTGAGAGAAAGCGAAAAAGCACCTTTTTACAGGGAGTTTAGGAATAACACAGTAAAGAGAGATGCTTTACTCTTGGAAATCTTGAAGCTCCAGATTACCCTTAATATCTTGTCTCCACCAATCAAACTATAGCTTGGAAAGGAGAGATGAAACCTTTTTCAACTAAAGACAAAAATGTACCACAAGGTCTTTCAGTGATCTTTAACATAAAAACTTTGTGTAAATGTTTGTTTACAGCTCTGTGTAGCATTATTGTTTCAAGTTAACAGCTGAATAACACAGCTTCTAGTATGACTGCCTTAGATATATTATTTGCTATCTATGCCTCTTACCATTCTTGCATTCTTTTCTCCAGCTCTGGCAATAGGAATTTACTATGGAAGGCATTTATTGATGAAATATTAGAAAAGATTTTATTCACCATCTCTGCTGGAAATGAGCCTCGATTTGCTTCTTCCAGTAGTTTGCAATAAAATACCTGAATAAGAGAATTAATGCAAACATTACTTCAAAGTTATTGGTTAACCATCTAGCACTGTGCTAAGGCATATAGTGGGCTCTTAGTAACTTTTTGTTGAATAAATGGCAAAGTTCGTGATTCAAGAAATCAATCATTTTTGAAATGTAGGAGTGAGTATATGCTTTAAGAAGAACCAGGAATTAGAATTAGGAAGCTTTGACTCTAACCTAGGCTATGCCTCTATCTGTGGGATGTTAATCTTTTCTGTTCCAGAGAATTTCCAGTTGAGGGTAACAGGATTTACCCTTCCTATCCATAGGTAGAGTTAAAAGATGGAAAACTATACAGATACATAATAACTGTGGTATTTTCCACTCCTCTTTATATTTTGATTGACTTCTATGGCACATATTACATATTGCCCTTTATTATAATTTGTTGGCATGTGTCTCATTTTCCCTATTAAAACTGTACACTCCTTGGGGAGGTAGAACATTGTGATTTACTTCTCACAGTAGAAAAGGTGCTTAAAAAATACGTGGTCAATGCATAAACAAAAGACTATTTCAGTTCTCACATGTTTTCCTGCTTTAGTAAATAATAATGCATGGTAACTTAAAACTCAGAAATGAGGATAAAAAGATCTTCTCTTGTACATAATAACAGGTATCTTAAAGACAGTAAAAAAAAATTTTGCAGTCTTAGCTCTACTCTAGTAGGGCTACTATACCTCTTAATTGCCATTCTGTTAAATGTAGGCAGAAGGAGGTCTGTTCTTTCATAATGTCCAGATGGTTGTCTATTTTCTAAATTTACCTCCATTGCATTTTCTTGAGAGGCAAAAAGAATACCAAATTATGTCCTTAGAGACTCCAATAGGATATTTTAGTAATTATGATTAAATTCTAAAAGGTCAGCAACAGGAGCTGACAAGATAATATGGATGAAAAAAAAGAAAGAAAAAAAAATGCAACTTGGTAAGTGGAAAAAACACATTTCCACTATGGGAATACCTAAAAGTTTCAGGTCTGTAATCACCATGAGGAGAAACATTGTTTCAAAGGCACAAACCAACATGAATTGATTGACTTATGGCGAAATTCTTTGGAAAGTGAATATTTGAGTCACAAACACATTATCTCAGAGAACACAAGTCTTAATCCGGACCCTTAAGGCTCACCCTAACAGGCATGTAGTCTGCTCTAGGAACTGATAAAAAGGTGTGCCCAGGATGGCCTGCTCCCACGAAGTTCCATTTTTCCAACTGCAGTAGCGGGACATCTTCTTGCAACTAATTTACTCAAAGTTGGCAACTTTATCTTTTAATAAGAGGAGTCTGTATCAGCAGACAATCTACCAATTATCTTGATCTTTTATCACTGAAACAGGATTAAGAGGCCATCGTGTTTAACAGTTATTCTTAATGATGCATTTTCAAACTTTCTTTGCAAATGTATATTTGAGATGATTCACAAGCATCTATCATGATGGAAGTACAAAATGTTATTCACATATTCAACAAATATTTACACCTGGCACTGTTTTGAACGTTTTATGCAAGGCCGAACAAGCGAACTCTCAAAATTCCTTCTGGCCCTATGACTGCAGGAATTCAGATCATTTACAACAGCAAGTGAGACAAGAATCAGTGATGTATTCATGTCAGTATCAGAATCTCCTATTTACTAACACAGCCTTCAGGATCACAATAAGTGGGCAAGAAACAGAGTAGTGTTTAGGATTGAAAGACACAGATAAATGCATTTTGCGACTCCTACAGAGAGTCCTTCAATCTGTTTTTTATGAATTATGAAAACTTTATACCTAATGAATTCACTGACAGAGCTGAAAATGTTAGAGATCTCCTTGAGGAAGTAGCTTTCACTTGCCAAAAATGGTTAGGTCCTTCTTGCAGTTTCTTAAACACTTAAATTACTAAGTTAAAATGATGTATAATGCCAAAAAATAAAATACTGAAAGGGAAAATATTACCTGATCTAAGAGGTCAAGTCGGCTGACGTAAGCTCTTTCTGTAAGCAAAAGTTCATTGGCTATTTTGTGAAGTTTTTGCTCATTAGTCTCCTGAAAACAGAACAGATATTCACATATCAGGAAATAAAGCTTGGACAGTATTTCTCAAGTAATAAATATTATCAAATGGTTTCATCAAGGACTTCCCTGGTGGCGCAGTGGTTAAGAATCCGACTGCCCGTGCAGGGGACACGGGTTCTAGCCCTGGTCCGGGAAGATCCCACATGCCGCAGAGCAACTAAGCCCGTGTGCCACAACTACTGAGCCTGCTTTCTAGAGCCCATGAGCCACAACTACTGAGCCCGCGTGTCACAACTACTGAAGCCCGTGCACCTAGAGCCTGTGCTCTGCAACAAGAGAAGCCACCACAATGAGAAGCCCGGGCACCGCAATGAAGAGTAGCCCTCACTCACAGCAACTAGAGAAAGCCCACTTGTAGCAATGAAGACCCAATGCAGCCAAAATCAAGCAAATAAATAAATAAATAAATAAAATTTTTAAAAAACTGATTAAAAAAAACGGTTTCATCAAAAGTTTTCCTAAGCTTCTCAGGTACCCAATTCCTTTCAGTCATCAAGGAACATCCAACCAGAAATGAACAAAATTAGAAATCAGCTAGATTTAATCTATGATAACTTCTTTGATCTCTGTATCAATTAACACTATCTTCCACCTTTTCTTTGAAACTTCTTTTATCTTTTTTACTTCCCAGACACTATACTTTCCTCATTTTCCCCCTACCTCTCTCAGGCTACTCTTTGGACATGTTTTTATCACTCTCTCAAAGATCTTGTTTAATTATTAGCTCTATGCACAGAACTTTTTACCTTAAAAAAACTGTTTTTATTATGGAAAATTTCAATCATATATAGAAGTAAAGAAAATAGTAAAACAAACCCCCATGTGTCCATCACCAAGATCCAACATCAATTCATTGTTAATCTTTCACCTATGCTCGCACCCACCTCCCTCTATCTATATTACTTTTAATTAAATCTAGACTTTAATATTTCTTCAGTTTATATTTACTTAACTCTTAAATATCTTTGTATAACCTTGCTAGTGCCATGAGGACAGGAACATTTTTTCGTTGTTAACTGCTCCATCTCTTTTATCTACTGCAGTGCTTCAATAAAACACTGGCACTCAATAAAATATCACTGAATGAATGAATGAGAAGCAGTCTCACATGACTAACTATTGCTGGACATTTATTACCACTTTGACATGTTGTCAATCTAAGACCAAACTCATCATTTCTGTAAAATCTCCATTCTACCACCACCCTCCAACCTTACCATCCTAGCAATGGTTCCATCCCTTTCCAGTTAGCTGACTTAAATTACTTTAAGCTTAGTTCCCTACCACAAAATCCAGTCAGCCACCAACTCCTATTCATGGCGTTTTGTCTTTAGCATCCATCTTTTAAGCTCTCATCACTGCCACCCTGTTTTGCTCATACCTTATCTCAAGCCCAGGCCAATCAATAGTTAGTTGCCCAATTAACTGATTCCATTATTTTTTTTGGCTCTAACCCACCTTGAATACTATTGTATGAGGAATTTTTCTAAAACTCTGCTCTGGGGACTTCCCTTGTGGCACAGCAGTGGTTAAGAATCCACCTGCCAATGCAGGGGACACAGGGTCGATCCCTGGTCCAGGAAGATCCCACGTGCTGCAGAGCAACTAAGCCTGTGCACCACAACTACTGAGCCTGCGCTCTAGAGCCCCCAAGCCACAACTACTGAAGCAAGCATGCCTAGAGCCTGTGCTCCGTAAGGAAGAGTAGCCCCTGCTCGCCACAACTAGAGAAAGCCTGCGCATAGCAACGAAGACCCAATGCAGCCAAAAAATAAATAAATACAATTAAAAAACAAGACAAAACAAAAACTCTGCTCTGCTCACCTAATGCTAATTCCCATAGGAAAAACCAAAATGCTTCAATAGTCCTCTTCTCACTGACAGGATAAAATCCAGACTCTGCGTACCATCCAGAGTTGTTTCTACCTAGTTACTTTACTGAAATACTTTTCTCATTCTAGGAGACTATGAAATATAATAAGAGTTTAGTAAAAACTTTAGTACCAAAGCAGACCAAAGTGTACTTTAAACCAGTGTCTGATTTGTGTAAATGCTACATTTTAAACTATGTATAAAATGCTATTAAGCTGTATAAATGCTTCATTGTGTTAAACACATATGACATCTATTTTATGCTTTATATGCAATATATGTTCTAACGTGGTAAGCTACCACGTTGCTTCTTACAGAACTGAGGTATTTTTATGTGAAGTCTTTAGGGTAAAGTAATATAATACGTTTAAATAATTTGTGGTCTCAGAAACACTGAAATAAGAACTATGTAGTAATCGGGACTTCCCTGGTGGTCCAGTGGTTAAAACTCCTCGATCTCATTGCAGAGGGCCCAGGTTTGATCCCTGGTTAGGGAACTAGATCCCGCATGCCACAATTAAGAGTCTAGATGCTGCAACTAAAAGATCCCGCATGCAACAACGAAGATCCCGTGTGCCACAACTAAGACCCGGCGCAGCCAAATAAATATTTTAAAAGAAACAACTATGTAGTAGTCAAATTCCATAATTAGTCAAAGTTTTGGTTTAACTTAAACTCAGAGTAAAGTACTAGCATTGCTGCTTGCCTACCTGGCATCCCTTCCCCGCTATCTCTTAATGGTATCCAGATTTGGTTAGTGTGTCTACCCAACTACTATGTAGCCCTTCCTTTGGGGAAACTGACCTTATCCACAGATCAAAAGGGGAGCCCTGAATGGTGTCACAATCAGGAGTATACAGCGATAGGTTCGGGGGCCAATGAGACACGAGGGAATATGCACTGGCAGCTTTGGAAAAGGAGGCTCCCTGCTCTTAAGGAAGAACCATAAAAAAAGAGATCTCTCTTTGCTGCTCCACGTAAATGAGGGTACATGTAGTCTTGAGTGCTATAAGCAGCCATCCCATAACCACAGAGATGAAGCCAATAAACTTCCTTATTGTTTAAGCCAGGTCGAGTAATATTGGTGTTATTTGTAGCATCCTGATTAATATAAAAAACTTAAATACTAAGAAACATATGTAGTATATTCCATGAAACTGATAAACTTTCAAGAAATTTTTAGACAATCACTATTTATAGAGAAGAAAGTAAAATACTTAATGAACTAAAAATGTGACTTTCAAAGATGTAATTAAGCGTAATAAGTAAATACATAAGAATTACATCAACATTTCAGAAAAAGTGATATGCTGTTCTACACACTCACAGGAAATACTGACCTGCACCAACACTACAGCCATTTGTTTTGGTTTCTTAAGCCAGATTTACTGAGGTGAAATTTACAATTAGTAAAAGTCACCCTTTTGGTGAATAGTTCTAGGAGTTTTGATGAATGGTTACAAGCATGTCACCACCACCACAATCAAGATACAGAACATTTCTATCGAAACTTTTCTTAGGTCTCTGCAGTCAACCCCACTCCTCTTCCACCACCAGCTCCTAGTAATTGTTGATCTGGCTTGTTCCAGAGTGTCATGTAAATGGAATCACACAGCATGTGCCTTTTGAGTCTTGCTTTATCAAAATGCATTTGAGATAGATCCAAGTTGTTATTAGTAGTTCATTCTTTTCAAGCCCTTCATTTTATTCTAATAGTGGAGATATATTTTTGACCCACTATACTCTTTTGTATATTCTAATTCTAGTTCTAGCTAATATCTTTAAAGAAAACAATCCAGCAGAATTTGTGCCATGATAAAATAATACATCTTTTGTAAGTCAGAGAATTCATTAAACAACAAGTCATAATGTCTATTATTGCTATGCAATGAAGTCACCCCTGAGGTCTTCCATATCCTACGAGATCTTAAATAGGAAGCTTCTAAGAAACAATCTTTTTGCTGATCGCAAATTATACTTTAGCTGAACGTGGCAAATTGTGGGTATCCTGGTCATATTTTGCAAAATCCAAGGGTATGCCAGCAGTTATTAGTAAAAGCTATATTTCTTCCACACAGATGGTCTTCTAACATTAGGTCCCTGACCTTGCCAAAGTCAACACAAAGTAAACTTGCTGACATATGGTTTAATCACTCACATATAAGGTTTGTGAAAAGTTACTAGGGATTTTGTGGTGGAAGTGAGGACATCACAGACTCATGGAGCCTTTCTTTAGGTTAATCACAACAATAATAGCATCACCATAATAAGAACAGCTAACAATTATTCACTCATTGCTTGTTATATGCCAGACTGTTAAAAAAAGTATTTTACACAGATTGACTGGTCCTTACAACAAGTCTATAAAATGGGTACCATTATTATTCCTATTTTATAGGTAGTATACACACAAAACAAAACAAAATTCCAGAGCTTAAAAAAAAACATCCAAGGCTCAAAGAGGCCAGGAAACTTGCCCAAGGTCACACAGAACCCAAATGACAGATTTTATTCACATAAGAGAGTATGTGATTTCTGAGTAACTCTTCAGTAAATAGTTGGCTCTCACTCTAACCCTTCTTTGCAACAAAAAACAAGATTGTATTAAGTGCCTACAAGTGAACAGACTAACAAAATACCAACTATCCACTTAAAAATGGAATGTGCATTTTAATTTATATACTGATTATTTTTCCAACATGAATTTTATTTAAAGCAGACTTTTTAGCATTTAGTAATAATTATCAGGTATAAAAAATTCAGTCATATTTGATGTAACAATATGATGGCTTCCAAATTTTAAAAAATTAGTTTAGTTTCTGAAACTTAACTATAATGTACAGGGTCAATTACTCTATCAGACTTAAATAATGCACAAAGTAGTTTTAAAGCTGCTGGTACATTGGGGCTGTAGCCTGATATTTTTTAAAATAGCACTTTACTAAGAAGTCATTTATTTTTGTGATTCTTTGGAAAACAATAATGGTTACACAATACTGATTTGATGAGTAATCCCATTGGATTCTTTTGCAGCTGAATACACAGGCTTGACTTTTCAAAATAATTATAAATATGCTATTTAAAAAGTATCTTACTTT